CCCAGAGGCTGCTTTGGGCCCAGATGTGGGGGGCCCATTCAGGATGTCCGGAATTAGGGTGACTACCCAGGGACACTGGAGGGTAGACGCTGGGGACAAGGAAAATGAGGTGGAAGGCAGAATGGAGATGATCTGACTTTTATTTCTTTCCATCTTTCAGTAACTCTTGCTCATTTGGTTTCAAAAGGAGAGGAGAGTAAAATCGTGCTTGGTGTTTTTAAATGCTCTTTGTACAGTATTTGATTTAGGATTTACCAGTGTAAACTTCCAATAAACTGTTTACATAATTATTTCCAATCCAGCTGATCAAGACTTATACCAGTGCTTTCGATGTGTTATAACTTACAGAATAATCATTTTCCTTTAGTGTCTGAATTTGCCTGAAGGTTTCAGGCTTTCCCATCCATGCTTCTCTGTATTTCACAGAATGAAGCTTTTTTGTTTGCTTTCTTCACCAAGTAACTTTTAGGGCTCAGGCCTTATCTTGTAAAACATATTGTCTCATAGAAATCACAGTTTACCATTCAGGAAGGGTGAAGTTTGTTACATTCACAGATGTTAATGACCAAAAGAATGTAAAAAGGAGGAGAGTGATTATTCATGATTCCAGTACTACTCTCCCATGTTGTCTTCTGGCAGGGGTTGGGAATTTTGTTCCCCCTTCTACATGGCTGGCTTCCATCGGCAGAGCATCCCCACAGGAAGAAGTGAGACCTGCTTGCTGCTGCTTAGTGTGTAGTGTCTTCCCCCCTGAAGTGGACTTGGGGTACCCACTCCACAGAGCCCACGCTATCTCTGTGTTCCCAGTCAGCCTCCAAGAGTTTATGCATCGGAAATTACAAGAATGATCTAGTTGGTTCACATGGCAACTATTGAAGTTTCTTTGTGCCCTAAGCCTGGTTTGGGTATATATCCTCTGAGATAGTTGATGAACTTCCCCCACCGTGTCCCTTGTTTTGCTGCTCTCTGCTTTAGGACATTCCAACATGGCATCAAGAAATCAGTGACTGTTAGAGTTAGGAGGAGCCTCAAAGATTTGATTCAGCTGTCCCCTAAAGCTGGGACTGCCACTCTCACATCTTGGGACCTTTACTCCCTAATAATTCCTTCACTTTTCCTTTGTCAGTTTTGGACAAGTTGGAAAATTAGAAGGGGCTGCTGACTTCCTCTACCAAATCCAAACTCCAGATGTTACAGGAGAGAGGGAAATTGAGCAACCAAAGAGCCACAGATAATTACTAATTTATAAAGGGTAGCTACCCAAGAATTATCACAGGGCCTCAAGTGAAATGCCAGGATGAGAGGTGGCTTGGGAGGGGGGTCTGGGGGTGGACATCTAGATTACAGTATTGGAATATTTCTGTGCTGAGAAGTTGCCCTTTTCTGTTTCCATCTTGCTTGGGAGAACACAAGCTTTTACCCTTTTCTCAGGAATTTATTACTAGCCAAGGCAATGAAAAGTGAGCCCACACATCACAAATTCTACTTCTCTTAAGAGTACATGCAAATGAAAAATAGATCAGAACAACTTATACAAAAGGAAGCAAGAAGATAATGGAAAAAACCAATGAGAAGCTGCAGTGAAAGATGCCTTCAAGATGGCTGAATAAGAGATGCCAGGCTTGCATAACCCCCTCAAGGATGATAATTTGGGATTCATCTCTGTGCAGAAGTGGCTTTGTGGGAGCTTTGGGACTGTGAATCCCTGTTGCAGTTCAACACTGAGGAGAGCCATTTTGAGAAGGTAGTCTTGCACCCAGGTAGTTGACTTGCTGACTGTGGTCTCAACTACAGAAAAGTGGACAGCTTTGTGTTCTTGAAAGCTCAGATATAGCCTCTTTGTCTTGGGTTGTGTAGGCGCTGGGGAGGTTTGGTTTTTTTTTTTAATTATAAATTTTATTTTTATATTCCCCATACAATTGCGACCCCCTTATTTTGACTCTAATTCCTCCCCTCCCCGCACCCTACTCCCCATAGACTGTCTGGTTCATAGTTGTTTGTTGATTTTGATTTTTACCTTCTTATAGTTATTCTTTTTCCTGGTCCCTTATTTAAGTTTTCTAGATACCTGCTATGAGTGAGACCATCTGGTATTTTTCTTTTTCTTTCTGGCTTATTTCGCTGAGCATGATCCCTTCCAGCACCATCCATGTTGCTGCAAATTGCATGTGTTTATCTTTTTTGAATGCTGAGTAATATTCCATGGTGTATATGTACCACATCTTCTTGATCCAGTCATCTATTTTTGGGCATTTGGGCTGTTTCCAAAGCTTAGCTATTGTAAACAGTGCTGCTATAAACATAGGGGTGCAGGTGCTCTTTGGAATTGATGTTTCTGTGTCCTTTGGGTAAATACCTAGGAGTGGAATTGCTGGGTCATATGGAAGCTCTATGTTTAGTAAGTCAAGAAATCTCCACACAGCTCTCCATAGTGGTTGGACCAGTTTGCACTCCCAACAACAATGCAGGAGAGTTCCTTTTTCTCCACATCCTCGCCAACATTTGTTGTTGCTAGTTTTTTTAATATGTGCCATTCTCACTGGTGTAAGATGGTATCTCATGGTAGTTTTGATTTGCATTTCCCTGATGACAAGTGATGTTGAACATTTTTTCATATGCCTGTTGGCCATTTGCATTTCCTCTTCAGAGAAGTTTCTTTTTAGCTCTTCTGCCCATTTTTTGACTGGATTATTTTCTTTGTTGTTGTTGAGTCTCATCAGCTCTTTGTAGATTTTTGTGATCAGTCCTTTATCGTTAGTGTTGGGTGCAAAAATGTTCTCCCAGTTGGTGGGGTTTCTCTTTGTTTTTGTTATTGTCTCTTTAGCTGTGCAGAAGCTCTTTAATTTGATGTAGTCCCAGCTGTTTATCTTTGCCTTCACTATAACTGCTTGGGTGATGTGTCTGTAAAGATGTCTTTGATGTGCATATCATGTAGTGTTTCACCTATATTTCCTTCTGTGTATTTTATGGTTTCAGGTCTTATGTCTAGTTCTTTAATCCCTTTTTTGTTGGTTTTTATGCATGGTGTGAGGTAGTAGTCAAGCTTCATTCTTTTGTATGTAGCGACCCAGTTTTCCTAGCACCATTTATTGAACAAACTTTCTTTGCTCCAATGCATATTCTTTGCTCCTTTGTCAAAGATTAGTTAACCATAAATCTGTGGGTTTATTTCTGGATTTTCTATTCAGTTCCATTGGTCTGTGTGTCTGTTCTTGTTCCAATACCATGCAGTTTTGATGATTATGGCTTTGTAGTATAGTTTGAAGTCTGGGAGTGTGATGCCTCCATTCCCTTCTTTTTTTTTTTTTTCAGGAGAGCTTTGGCTATTCGGGGTTTTTGGTGATTCCATATGAATTTCATCAATAATTGTTCTATTTCTTTGAAGAATGACATTGAAATTTTTATTGGAATAGCACTGAATCTGTATATTGCTTTGGTAGGATGGCCATTTTAATAATGTTTATTCTTCCAATCCATGAGCAGGGAATGTCTTTCCATTTCTTTGTGTCTTCTTCTATTTCTTTTAATAATGTTTTATAGTTTTCTTTGTATAAGTCCTTTACCTCTTTTGTTAGATTTATTCCCAAGTATTTGATTTTTTTTTATTTCAATAATGAAAGGGATGGTTTTTTTGATTTCTTCTTCTTCAGATTTATTGTTTGTGTATAGGAAGACTACTGACTTTTGCGTGTTGATTTTGTATCCTGCCACTTTACCCAACTGATTGATGAGTTGAATTAGTTTTTCTGTGGAGTTTTTGGGATTCTCTATGTATGTTATCATGGTTTGTTTGTTTGTTTTTTAAAAGTTTCAGGCATATTAGCAACATGATCGAATTGGCATTCGTGGCAGAATAAAGGAGAGATATGAAGGGAAGAGATTAGAGGCAGAGATGAGTTAGGGGAGATCCTACAGTGGACTCGTCAGGGCACTGGGTGAGGGTGAGGAGTAGAGGGTCATGGATTCAGCTTAGGAACAAATAGTAGCCAAAAAATAGAAACAACCCAAATGTCCACCAACTGATGGTTTGAGAATGTTTTATATCGATACAAAATAATATAAGCAGTAAAAAGGAATGGAGTACTGATTTATGTTACATGGACATACTTTGAAAACCTTAAGTTAAAAGAATCCAAACACAAATGGACACACACTTTATAATTCCATTATATTAGTGTCCGGAGTAGGTGAATCCATAGAGAAGGAAGTAGACCAGTAGTTGCCAGGACTTGTGGGAAGAGGGAAACTGTAGGAAAAGATAACTTCAGAATAAGAATCATTCTTTATTATCTGCTCTATCTCATTACAGGCAGCTCTGTTTTTAGTACTGGCCACTTGATCTATTTCAGAGCAACTGAAATAGTGGAATTTCTATCAGATTGTCATTTCCCATGAAGATTTCTGATTGATTGTGAGCTGCATAGAGAGAAATGCTGAAATTAATTTGTGAAACTGAGGATTACCATAAATGAGAACAGTTTCCACCAGGTCTAATGAAGAAGTGAACATGGGTAGCTGTTGGCTTTGTGGAGCCAAGTTATATGTGTGGTAGTCGTGATTGGCACAACAATAGAGGGCGGAGAACAGTGACTGCATGCATTTAGTGAGGACTTAGATTTTGTACAAGACTTACTATAGCATGGTGGCTAAGAGTAGGGGCGCAGTCACCTGTCTGGGTTAGAATCCTGCATGCACCTGCGGAGGCTCTCTATGTCACATGGTTATAAAAATCATACCTTCTGGTAACACTGCTGGGAGGATTAAATTAGATGAAACTTGTAAAGCATGAGAAAAGCATCCGAACCATGGAAAGGGCTCAGCGAACCTTAGCATTGTCTGTTCTCATTAGGCACACCAGATGCTGATGAAGGCTTTAAATATGCCTGCTATTACTTCCAGAATACTTGTTTATAGCATGTTGTACTCTGACACAACTTTCCCAGTCATCATTTCCGGGCATACAGAGATATTCTTCTTACTGTAAATATTTTCTTTTACAGAATAAAATCAGGAAACCTTCACTAACAAAATGAAGATCCTCCTAATTATATCAGTCCTGATCGTTTGGACTAAAACACTGGCAGATCAGAGCCCAGGTACCAGTATATTTTATGCTTTTTAGGAAAATAAATATTTTTCACATTTCAGTAAATATTTATTTTAAAAGCTAGAGCTAAGAATGTATTTTTTTGCTAAAAAAATCAAAATAAATAGCATTTAGTTGTGGTTGGAGGCATGCAATATCAAACTTAATCTCTCGAAAATGACAGAAAACCAAGGGCAAAAGTCATGATTTATGCTCCACCCAACTGGAAAATGTTTAATTCATCACTCATTTGCTTAAGTTGCAGAGTCAGCTCCTTTGCGTCTAGGGCAGTTTGCATCTTGACCTCAGTAAATGGAGAAAAAGGAAAAAAAGGAACCCCACATGGGAACTAAATTCTCTGTATTTTCACGGTTAAACCATTGCCTTTAATGTTATTTTTTTAAACAAACTTGAAATAGGAGAGGCGTATATCCATATATATATATATATATATATATATATATATATGTATACACGAACACATACATACGAACACATACACTCCCTTCTTGGAGAGGGAGAATATACATATGCCTTACCAACCTACCTTTCATTCCCCATATAATCTTATTTATTTATACTCCATTTATACAGAGGCGGGGGTGGGGGGGGAGAGATGGAAAGACAGAGTGGGGGTGGAATGAAAGGTAGGCTTTTCTGCTCTTCTGTAATTACTAAAAGCATAGCACAAAGACATTTTTAACTCTGCACTGTGCTACCCTAGGGTTTCCTATTGAATTTCCAATTGACTTTCTTTTTTTTTAGATTTATTTATTTATTTATACAAGAACCGGGGTACAGGCCAGATGTGCGGGAGGGCGAGAGGATTCCCCAGAGACAGAGCAGAGAGCAGAACAGGCAGACTGACGAAATACACTGCTGAGGGGAGAAGCGGGCGAGACAGGAGAGGTCTGCTCGCCATGTGGGTTGTTCCGCGGCTGGTGGGGATCGAACCGGCACTGCAGAAGCTGTGGACAGCTTCACAGCGCTGCGCTCAATCACCTGTGCCACCAGGGGAGGCCCTTCCAAGTGACTTTCAAAGATGATCTAGTTGTTGCTCTTTGGCACTGACCAGCACGTTGCTAGTTCTGAGTGTAGAGCTGGATGGCTGGCCGCTGAAGCAGATGCTGGTGGTGCACCACCTCCCCAGCTGCTGGGGATGTTGCCTGCACCACCTCACAGGCATACTCCACTTTCTCTGGAGAATTGCTCTTGGCCTTCCCAGAGCCACCTTACCCAGGGGATTGAGCACATTTCCCTCTGCTCCATCCCTCCGGTGCCTGTGGTGGTCTGTAGCCAGTGACGGCCTGAGAGAAGAATGCAAAAACTGACCCTCTTGCCTTGAAGAAGGACGCTCCTGTGCTGCTGACAGACTCCTCAGTTCTGGCCAGGGTTAGACACCATGCTCCTCCTCACTCCAGCCGGTCACTCAATCCCAGTCTCAGAACTGCTGCGCAGTCTTCAGCCAAGGCAGCTGCTATCCTGATACTGTTTCTAAAAGTTGCTGTTTGTTCACAGACCACTTCGGGACTTTCTGGGATCATGTTGTCTATTCTTTTGTACAGTAGCAGAGTTTGGGTTCCTGCAATGGAAAAAGAAAGTGTTGCGTAGAGAAAGAAGATTCTGTTGTGTGACTTGACCAAAATTCTCATGTTTGACATCTTAGCAGAACACAAATAGAGTTTCTTCTGTTCGCTTTGGGACTCCGGGTTACCATAACCCTGGGACATAATCTCAGGATCTTAAATGATTACTGAAAATGTAAAGGCTGAATAACCATCTTAGTTTGGTTTGCTGTCATTTTGTTTTGGTAGGGCCAGGCCCTGAGTACGCAGACGTGGTGTTTCTGGTGGACAGCTCCGACCACCTGGGAACTAAGTCTTTCCCTTTTGTGAGAACCTTCATCAGCAGAATGATCAACAGCCTCCCCATCGAGGCCAGCAAGTACCGTGTGGCCCTAGCCCAGTACAGCGACTCGTTCTACAATGAGTTCCAACTGAACACCTTCAAGAGCAGGAACCCCATGTTGAACCACCTCAAGAAGAACTTCATGTTCCAGGGGGGCTCCCTGCGCATCGGGAATGCTCTCTGGGAGGCTCACAGGACTTATTTCTCCAGACCCACGATCAGCAGAGACAAGAAACAGTTTCCCCCGATTCTGGTGGTCCTGGCTTCAGCTGAGTCCGAGGATGACGTGGAAGAGGCTGCCAAGGCCCTGCGGGAGGACGGGGTGAGGATCGTCTCAGTGGGGATGCAGAGGGCTTCTGAGGAGAACCTGCGGGCCATGGCCACAGGCCAGTTTCACTTCAATCTTCGGACAATCAGAGACCTCAGCACATTCTCCCAGAACATGACACAGATCATCAAGGAGGCGGCTCAGTACAGGGAAGGAACAGATGAGGCTGATGTAAAAGGTGAGGGAGCCCTGGAGGGAGAGGTTGGCTAGTCCCCCTGTGATCAGAACTTGCCTCTCACAACTCCTAAGATACTTTTCATGATTAGCCATGTTCAAGTGCTGGAAATTTCCACACAGTACATCCTGCTGTTACTTCCTTCTGCCTTTGCTTGTGCTTTTTTTCTCTGGCAGGAATCCACTTGCACCCCATTGCCTTCTTAAACTTCAGTTACCCCTGTCATGGTGTAGCTCTCAACCTTGCAGGCATGTCTTCCCAAAGGGTTTCCTTTCACATTTCTTTTGGGGTCACACAGTATGCAAGTGGTGATGGTGGTACCTGCCACATGGCATCATTACCCATTTTTTGTGTTGGTCCCCTGATCCCCGTGAGTGAGCCCCTGAGAGCTCATAGCACTGTGAGGGAATTTTTGGCAACTTATATTCATGTCTCACTTTTTGGGCCTACACTGTAGTGCCTGACAGTGAGCTGGTGTTCTCTCTTTTTTAAAAAAATAGGATATTTTATTGGGGTCATTTTGTCTTTTTTAAAGTTTATATTTATTTTCTCATGTTATTGTTAATTTGGGAGCAGCATTTGCTTTCTCCCCTCAGGTGTAGTCCCTGTCGTTCTCCCACCACCACAGCACCCGTGACCCATCACCACAGTCCCTTGTGCTCGTCCCTCCTGTTTTGGCCCCTCTCCCCTGCTATATGCCTCAGATCTGTGGTTAGCTTGCAAGTTTTGTCTTTTTTCCCTAACCTTTTGTTTGGTTTCTCTATATTCCACAAATAAGTGAAACCATCCAGTATTTATCTTTCTCTTTCTGGCTCATTTCACTGAACATAATCCCTTCCAGCTCCATCCATGTTGCTGCAATGAGTTTATCTTTTTTGATTGCTGAGTAGTATTCCACTGTGTATATATAACACATCATCTTGATCCAGTCATCTCTTTTGGGGCATTTAGATTGTGACTGGATCAAGAAGATGAAGAAGAGGTAAAATGAGACAGGAGGCTGCCTAGGCAGTGTTGGTGATTAAGTAGAACAGGCAGTACACAGCTCAAGAAGGAAATGTCCTCCAGAAGAAGGTAGATAGAGTCCCTGGCATGATGGATTTTCCTGACTGCATCTGTGCTCGGCTGACAGTAGTGAGCTGAGCAGGTGCTGTGTGGTTCTAAGACTCAAGGAAACCACCCAGTATGGTACAAACTGGCCTGAACCCAGAGTCACACAGTGCTTCTAACGGGCTCTGTGAACTTGGGGAGAGGATGCTGTCTCTCTAAGCCCTGTGGCTGCAACCTCATTTGTAAGACATGGGAGTTGGGATGGTCTTGAAACAACCTTCCTTCTTTAACACTCACCAGTTCCATGGCTATAGATGGGATGATATTTTTACTTACACCAGGCTTACACTAGGCTTTAATAACAAACTTCCCACATGGTAAGAAGTTTATTTATTTTTCTCATAACATAATGAAGCCAGCATTCAGTTGTTTTTCTTTTATTTAGGTACCTAGGCTCTTCCCTTTTCTAGTATGACTTCCAGAGTGCCCTGGGGACTGGCATATAGCTGTCGGAAGCGGAAAATATGGCAGATTATGCATGGGATGGTTCAATGACTAAACTTGGAAGAGGCACACACTACTCTATTCACCTTTCTCACGTGTTGGTCTCATGGCCTCACCTAACTGCTTAGGGAACTCAGATCTAGTTCTATGTCTAAGAGGAGGAAATGGGTATTGGTGAGTGTCTAGAAGTCTCTGCCACTGTTAGTGTTGCCCCCAAGATATGGGAGAGCCCCTTTCCCTGCACCCTCTCCTTTCTTCCCATTTCTTCCCTTGCATTCAGGTGTTGATGGTGAGTTGAGCAGGTACTGTGTGGTTCTAAGATGCAAGGAAGCAAAGTATAGAGTTTCTTGTTCTCCCATCTTTCCTTCTGTTATCTTGTCTAAGAACCGTTATCTTGTCCTTGACTTGGCAATTGTTCTTCATTGAAATCCCCGAATTCATTATTTCTCCTCAACAACTGGGATGATATTTAAGATTTAAATAAGATGTGACTTCTGGGCCTCCCCTGGTGGCGCAGGCGGTTGAGCACAGTGCTGTGGAGCTGTCTGTAGCCTCTGCAGTGCCGGTTCAATCCTGGATGGCCGGCGAGAGTCTCACATGGCGCGGCAGACCTCTCCTATCTCGACCGGTGCTCCCCTTAGCAGTGTATTTCGGTCAGTCTGCCTGTTCTGTTCCCCGCTCAGTCTCTGGGGAATCCTCTCGCCCTCCCATGCATCTGGCATGTACCCCAGTTCTTGTATAAATGAATGGATAAATCTTTTAAAAAAAAAAAGATGTGACTCCCAAGTGATTTGTACCCTGCTTTCCTCTGACCTCATCCCTCATTGTCCCACTCATTCATAGGCTCCGGCCACTCTGGCTTCCGGCTTGTTCCTACCTTTGCTGTTACTTCTGGCAGAGTTCCTCTTCCTGAAAAAGAACACATGGCAGAATCCTTCTTGTCATTCATATCTCAACTCAAATATGCTTCTCTCAGAGACACCTTCCCTAATTATTTTATGTCTCAGATAACTTAGTCCCCAACATGTCTCAGTCATGTCATCTATTTCATTTCCTTGCTGTGTGATATAGTTATTATAATTACATATTTAACTTATGTAATTGTTATATGTTATATATTTTATAATATAGTTATATAAATTGAATATATAATTATTACTGTATTATAGTTAATAATCTAATGAAATAATATAGTTACATAAAATGTGAGTACTCTGTCCTAGCCTAGAGATATTTCTGCTAATGCACCTCTGGTTCCAGCATTGGAGAGTTGTGGTGGTGGTCATGGAGGTGACAGTAGTGAGGTGAAGGTGTGGGTGGTCGAGGTGATGGAGGTGGTAATGATGGTCGTGAAAATCATGTTGGTAGTGGATTAGGTAGGAAACATTCTTCAGACAGAGGGAACAGCACTGCAAAGCCTCTGAACCACTGACCCCATCAGTGTTGTTCTGTCACCAAGTGACCTCTGTTTTGACTAGTGCCTTTTGTGCTAATCCTCATACTTTTTCTCTCTCCATAGCTCCCATCCCTGTGACCTGTCAGAAAGATTCACTTGCTGACCTTGTGTTCCTGGTTGATGAGTCAGTTGGGAGCATACACAATTTAAGGGATTTACAGCGTTTCCTGAGGAACATTACCTCCTCTGTGGATGTCAAGGACAACTGTGTGAGGCTTGGACTTATGAGATACGGCGAGACGGCCGAGACCATTTCTTTTCTGAATTCAAGCAAAACCCAGTCAGAATTTCAGCAGCAAATCCAGAAGCTCTCTTTCCGCACTGGGAAGTCCAACGCCGGGGCTGCCATTGAGAAGCTGAGGCAAGAGGGCTTCTCAGAGGCAGGCGGCAGCAGAAGGGCACAGGGCGTGCCCCAGATAGCGGTGCTTATCACGAGCCGAGCCTCCGATGACCAGGTCCGTGACGCTGCCCTGAGCCTTCGGCTGGAGGGCACGACTGTGTTCACCATGAACATCCAAGGTGCTAACAACACCCAGTTAGAAGAAATAGCTTCTTACCCTCCAGAACAGACTATTTCTAAGCTGAAATCGTATGCAGATTTGGCAGGTTATAGCAAGAACTTCCTGAAAAAGTTCCAGAATGAAATATGGTCCCAGATTTCTACACATGCTGAACAAATGGAGCTCGATAAAACAGGTATGCTTTAAGGCCTCCCTGGTGGCACAGGCGGTTGAGTGCAGTGCTGTGAAGCTCTCCGCAGCCTCTGCAGCGCGGATTTGATTCCAGCCGGCTGGTGAGAATCCCACATGGCATGGCAGACCTCTTCTGTCTCGCCCACTGCTCCCCTCAGCAGTGTATTTCATCGATCTGCCTGTTCTGCTCCCCACTCTGTCTCTGGTGAATCCTCTCACCCTCCCATGCATCTGGCCTATATCCCAGCTCGTGTATAAATAAAATAAATCTTTAAAAAAAAAGATATGCTTTAAAAGTGACTTGTCTTATTATAAAAGTAAGATGAGTAGTTGCTTAAGACTCGAGCAGGAGAGAAGACAATGGATTGGGCTGTCGGAAAAGTCATGATGCATTTTTGCTTGAAAAACTTAGAAAAAAATACATCATGACTTTTCCAACAACCCAATATTTGGATAAGGGAGATTGATGTATAAAAGCATTCTAAAACTTGATTTTGATGATGGTTGCAGAATTTCACAAATTTACTAACAATCACTGAATAATTATAGGGGAGTTTTTTAGCATATAAATCATACTATAATAAAATGTAAAAAAAAGTTATGAAATATTTTCACAGTATTGATGTCCTTAAAGAAGAAAATGAAGTTGCCTGTAATCTCATCTTTCAGAGAAAAACATTCTTACACTTGTTTCTCTTGACTTTTTAGCCTCTGCTCTCTCGGTACACTCCTGTACACTGAGGCACACACATCCATTCATTAAAAAATGACAGAACACTGTCTGCATCAGCACTACCCAATAGAAATTTCTGTCATGGTGAAAATGCTCCTTGTCTATGCCATTCAACAAGGTGGCCACTGTTGACCACTGAGCACTTGAAATGTATAACTTTAGGGACTGAACTGTAAATTTTATGGTAGCTTATTTTAATTTTAATAGCTACATGGGTCTAACAATTGTTGTATTGGAGAGTGCAGGAATATACAGCTGGGTGACTGCATCAGTTACAGTTACACTTGGGTGTGACTAATAGGAGAAAAATACCAGCAATGGCATCAGGATAAAGCTATTTTTCCTCTTACACAAATAAATCCTAAGGTAGCTAGACATAACTGATATGGTACCCCACAGTGTTGGGAACCCCGTGTCTTTCTAAATTATTGTTTTGGTTTTTGTGGCCTTTATCGCCAGGATAACAAATGTGAGTTAGCTGCCCCAGACATCATATTCACAACCAGAAAGCAAGGAAGAGGGAAAAAAGAAGAAAACAGGTCTCCACTGCCTTTTCTTCAAGGATATTTCCAGAAATGACACTCACCATTTCCACTTACATTCCATGTCACACGTAATTGTAGAAATGGGAGCTAGAAAATGTGGTTTTTATTTGTGGAGACAAGTACTTAGGTAAAAACTGGGGCTTCAGGTAGTGTAGGAGTCAATGTATATTGAAAGAAGCCAGCATTTTCTGCCTTACCCATGTTTCTAGCAACCTTATATCATGGACTTTTGTCCATTTTCTCAAATATTCTTGTGCAATATTCTTTTTAGTTTGGGAATAATATTTCATGGCATGAATATATTATCATTGATTTAACATATCATTTCCTGGGTGGACAGTTCACTGCTAATGTTCTGTTCTTACAAAAGTCTTGCACGGGTCATCCTTGTATCTGTATCTTTACTGACAACCATGGTTAGTTTCTCACTTTTTTTATGTTCTCTGTTTTTTGATCCCATCATGCTAGTTTAAGATGTTCTAGTTAAGACACTTTGTGAATCTGCTATCGTTTTACCAAGCTCAATTCAAAGGTACATGACGAGGCATTTGATGTGACTTTGATTTTATCTGATTCTGAGATTTCTACTGTCTTCACGTATTTCCTCTGCATAGAAAATGCTCCTATTGGAACTGGAATTTGGCAGCATTCATATGGAAAAGAATTAAAATATTCCAGTGACGCTAAAAGCTCATTTTAAATTCAAACCCGTCAATTAAGGCTGAAGGATACGTCTGGGCCAGTCCTGGATTTCTCCTGGTAACACATCTACATTACAAGGCAATGACAGGAAGCAAGTCCATAGTACCCCCTGAAGGATAGGTAGGGGAGTCCCTCAGAGTGACAGGCACCATGGTCTAATGCCAACTGTTAGGGCACAAGAGCAATGTAGGGAACTTACAATTATGTAACGAGAAAAACCTATTATTGTCATCATAGAACTTCAAGTGGGAAGGCTATCGAGAGGGCCTGACTCTTCTCCCTGCAAAGTCCTCATGAGTTGGCTTCTTACCAGTTCAGTGGCTCTTAGATGTTGGTACCTGCCACAGGTTGCATTCCTCAGAAGCAGACGCTAGACCATGATTCATGTGAAATTGATATATTAGGAAATATCCCCAAGAAGAACTGGAGAGTGCTAGGAAAGTGAGAAAATGGGATCCAGAAGGGAAGGATGAGAACCAAACTCTTGGGGTGGGGTGGGGTTGAGCCCATGGGGCCAGTCTAGAGACAGTGTGAATTAAACCTTAAAGTTGTACTGGTTAGAGGTCATTGTAGCTAGAGAATTTTTATTCTGGCTCACATGAGAGAATGTAAATTTCCAGACACTGGCTCAAGTGCCAAGCACAGAGTGTGCCAGCAACCTGAGAGCAGCCCTCCCACAGACAGGTGCCAGCTGTTGAGGGGAAAGCACCCGGAGCTGGTGCACAAAAAGGGCAGAGGGGCACCAACAGCATTGGATGTAAATTGGGCAGTTTCCTAAGGAGCTTGTTACTGATTCAGCAGCCCAAACCCTACCCTAGACCTACTGAATCAGTCTCTGAGGGTAGGGCCTGGGCACCTGCATTCGACTAATCTCCCCAGTGAGCTCATGCTGGCAATGCAGGAGTCCCACCCACTTTGTGAATTTGCCATGGTTTAGAGTATTTTGTAGTTTCAGGATGATCAAACACAGAGAGAACCAGGCTGTATTGCTTCAGTCACTGCTGTATCCACCACATTCAGGACATAGTAGATATTTAGTTTATTAACTAGAAGTTTGTTAAATCAAGGGGAGAGTCACATTAACCAGACCAAGAGGTCCATGTAGAGAAAAAGGAGAACAGTTATCTTTGTAATGAGAACTTCCAGAATACTGAATATTCATGTCCTCTGGGAAGTTAGTTTTCTCCCCGTAGACATGCCACATGAGAAGCTGAATTGTCACAAGAAGAGAGCTAGAGGTTGGGGAATCAGAGCAAGGGCAGCCAGTTGGGTTTATTTTTCAAGAAAATGTGTGGCTCTATACCGCTTTCTCCTTTATGTAACTGCAGGTGAGGTTTTGGGCCAGGGAACAGTCTCCGATTGAAGTTCTTGAACATTTTCTCAGTGATGGAAATGTTCTATATTTGCTGTCCGAGAGGCTAGCCACTCGCCACATAGTACTATCAGGCTCCCGAAGTGTGACTAGTGCAACTGAAGAGCCAATTTAAACTTTTAATTTAATTTTAGGTAGTTTAAGTTTACACTATTATAACAACATGTGACTAGTGTCCAATGTACTGGACAGCACAGTCCTAAGCAGAATTGACTCATGTTTTTCTCTCCTCTATTTCTGATCACTGATGTCTTCCTTCTGAAAAGCACCCAAATCTTCTTTATTTGTTATACTAATCAGTCCATTCTGGTTAGTTTGAAGTGTTACTGACCTGACATCTACCCTATCTTTGGCAGATAACGGCTAATCTTTGTCCTAATATTTTATGTTGAGTTCATAGCTTCATTCTCAGGGTCAAATTTATTTCTAATATTTCTGATTTCTTAAGGACCAACTCCCCATGGTCTGTAGTAGTATCCTTAGCTATAAATTGCAAAAACAGAAAAAAGATAAAAAAAACTTCTGAGGTGCCTAAGTTGTCTGTCTTGTATTTTAAAAATCAATTCATGAACTCAACCAGATACTTGCACAAATAACCTGAATTTTAAAAATATCTCCTTTCTCCTACCCAATTTCAATGAATGGCTAGATAGAGTAACAAATAGACCATTAAGATGGTTGGAGCATTCTTTCATAGGAGATGGACACGAGGGAGAGGTGGACAGACTCTATACATATGTGGAGAGTTGCCATCCATGAGAACCTTCGTGTTCCTCTAGTAGCCCTCATGCAGAGTTCTCTCCAGATTTCCTATAATAAACCAACCATTTTCCCTTTTTGTTTTAACAGGTTGTGTGGATACAAAAGAGGCTGATATCTATTTCCTCATTGATGGTTCAACGAGCATCCAGAGACGAAACTTTGAGCAAATCAAAGACTTCATGTCAGCGGTGATAGAGATGTTCCGCATTGGTCCGGACAAAGTCCAGATTGGAGTTGTGCAGTATTCCAATAGGGTGGAAGTGGAATTTGCTAGCAATGTCTACTCCAATGCTGTGGACTTAAAAAAGGCTGTTTTTAATATCAAGCAACTGCAAGGCGAGACTTTAACTGGAGCAGCCCTGCATTTCATGCTGTCAGAAATACAGGAGGGCAGGAAGCAGAGGGCAAGTCAGGTCCCCTGTTACCTCATTGTACTGACTGATGGGAAGTCCATGGACAGAGTCCTGGAACCTGCTGAGAGACTGAGGGCTGAACACATCACCATTTATGCAGTAGGCATTGGGGAGGCCAATAAGATGGAGCTGCAGCAAATTGCTGGGAAAGAAGAAAGGGTTTACTTTGGGAACAATTTTGATGCATTAAAAAGCATAAAGAGAGATGTTATTCATGACATCTGCACTGAAAAAGGTAAGCAAAGCAAGAGAAGGCTTTTTATCTCTGTGTTCATTAGTTTCTTCAGGCAGACACATGGCCAGACTGATAAAAGGGGTGATGGCACCAGTTGTCTCATTAAAATTTTGGCTACTTCCTGTATCACCATGGAGGGAATTGAGGCAAATGAGTACAGTGAAAATTTTAGGCAGATTTTAATTCAACTCACTTTTCTACTTGAGCCTCAAATTTCCTCAGACTATCCTTATAGGTTTAGTAAATACAGTATTACCTGAATGCATCTCTAGTACATTGTAGCTATTGTTATAAAGTAACAAGAGTTAGGATGAGCAATTTGTAAATTCCTGTACCTAACTGTTATCTTTTTCTTATTAATAATAACCACTTAGTAATTGAAGATGGTATATATTGATTACTAGTATTAGCACATGAAAATTTTGCCTGCTGCTGAGAGGCCTGGTCGCTTACTGGTTGAAATAAAGGATGCTGGGATCAAGCAATAAAAATTCAACCCCCAGGCTTATCACTTATTACCTGCGTCCCTAAAATAGGTTATTTACTGCCTATCTACCTTGATTCTCTGGTGTGCAGTTTTGTTGTAATGTAAAGCTTAAAGGTGGTAACTCATATGGAGCACTTGGAGGAATACCTGACATGTAGTAAATGCTATAAAAAACTAGCTGTTGCAGAAGTTGGTTAAGTGTTCATCAAAAGAAAAATAAACAAGTAGAATTTACAGTAAATCCTAAGTGATGATGGCACCTGTTGTTTTCCCTGTTACTAACAATAGTAGAGTTGGGTCTTTAGGATGTACTTAGAGTAAAAGCATGTAAGAGCAAAAGTTCCCCAACCTTTCCTGGAGTTGATGGCAAGAAAAGTTAAAAGGATTTCAAAGAAACATAAATTAGATTGTAGCTCAGGCCCTCTCCAGGGAGAAGGTCTCAGCTCAGTCAAAGGAGACACAGTGTGTCTCTCATGGGTCAGGTAGTTGCAGTTCAGGTGCCTGAACCTCACACACTTGAAGAAGGAGGCAGACTGTGGACAAGAAAATGTACAATAAGACAGTGAACCGAGAAGAAAGAAAACTAAGGAGCAAAAGCTCATTAGCTTAGAAAAGTCCTGGCTAGTCTCAGCACTGATGTAGGTGGAGCAAGATACAATGTATTGACTGGTTAAGCAGCTGTAACAAAAAAGATCCCAAATGATACAACATAAGCTATTATTTCTCTCTTAGATAATAGTCTGGGATGAACAGCCCAGGTCTGGTAGAAAGGCTGTTCCATGCTTACACATGGCTCCATCTTCACAGTAAAAGTAAAGCTCCAGTTCTCATCACCTGCATTCATAGGAAGGGTCAAGGGGGCGCGTCACACTGCATGTTAAGATGTGGAAGTGGCCACTGCGTTGCTGCTTATTTCTACTGCCCAGAACTTAGCCACTGAACCACATCTAACTTTAGAGAGGTCAGGGAAATAGTCTTTACCTGCACAACCATCTACTTGCTGAAAGTTTATTAACATAGAAGAATGGGAAAACAGAAATTAGGGGACAAAAAGCAGTCTCTGTCAGATAGATACTAGAAGGTAGATCCTGTGACTGCTAAACCCCATGTAAAATTGATTCCTTTTGCATGTGTTTCATGGAAGAGAGGCTTCCATAACTCCACAGTCTTGGGGCTTTTCCAAGGTCATAAACGTCTTCAGTAACTTCCCTACTTACAACTTCCAAGATAGCCCCAGAGGGCAGCTTGGGTCTGAAATGATGGTCTTAATTCCCCATGTTAAAACAAATTAACATTTTTTGTTCTTCTATAGCCAGTGTTATTTGTTCATTTTCACTGTGGGATAGACTGAGTGATGAGAGTGATTATAGATCAGTATAAATACTGATTTATGGCATTTATCGAATGACTTCAAATTATTCCAGAAAATAATAATGATAAAGAACACTTGTGGGGCCTCCCCAGTGGCGCAGCGGTTGAGCGCTGGGTTGTGAAGCTGCCCGCAGCCTCTGCAGTGCCGGTTCGATCCCCGGCTGCTCCCTGGCCACTGGAGGAGGGTCCCAAATGGCACAGACCTCTCCTGCGGCCCGCTGCTCCCCTCAGCAGTGTGCTTCGGTCCTTCTGCCTGTTCTGTTCCCCGCTCTGGTGAATTCTCTCACCCTCCCGCGCTTCTGACTGTATCCAGTGCTTGTATAAATAAATCAAATAAATAAATAAATAAATAAAATAAATCTTTTTAAAAAAATTAAAAAATAAATAAATAAAAAAAAATAAAGAACACTTGTGTTTCAAAAATATACATAAACTCTGGAATATTTGTCCTATGAATGTAGCAAATTGGTTATTTTTCTCTCTGTCTCCTCTGTGATCAACATTGCATTTTTATGCAAAAGGATGCTTGGCATGTCCTATGCTTCAAGAATTATGAATGAATGATGTATGAATAGATGATGCATGCATGCAGGTCTGGATGAATGAATACACACTTTGGAAGTGCATTTCCTCTTTCAAACTACTTGGATAATTACCAGTGGATTTCTGATTCAGGATTCTAGCCAAAAGGCTTCCCTTAAAGAAGGAATGAAATTTTCAAATGCAATAGCAAATTCTTGACTTAATTTTCCATGTTTTCTGATGAATGCATTTGTTATTTCTTCATAATCTGAGAACAATGGCCAACCTGGTTTATTTCTGATCTTTCTGATAACATGCAGGATGTGAAGACATGAAGACTGACATCATGTTTCTGGTGGACAGCTCTGGCAGTATAGGACCTGAAAATTTTGAGAAAATGAAAAGCTTTATGAAAAACCTGTCAGCTAAGCTTCAAATTGGTGCAGACAAAATCCAGATTGGTGTTGTTCAATTCAGTGGTGATACTAAGGAAGAATTCCAGCTTGATAAGTACTTTACACAAAAAGAAATTTTGGATGCAATAGACCGTCTGTATCTCATAGGCCAAAACACTTTGACTGGAAAGGCACTAAACTTTGTACCTCAATACTTTACCTCCTCCAAGGGGGCCCGTTTTGAAGTCAGAAAGTTTCTCATCCTCATCACAGATGGAGCTGCACAGGATGATGTGAGAGATCCAGCTAAGGCTCTCCGGGATAGAGGGGTGATTATCTTCTCTGTGGGGGTATATGGCGCCAATAGAACTCAGCTAGAGGAGATCAGTGGGGACAGCAGCCAGGTCTTCCAAGTTGAGAACTTCGATCATCTAAAGGCAATAGAAAATAAACTCATCTTTCATATGTGTGCAGTCCATGGTAAGTGACATTGCTATCCTTCAGGATGCAAAGATTTGGGCTGTTGACTTTTTCAGGTGGGGGGAGCCGTGGCTTGTACTCAGGGATTGGTGCTAAGTTTTGATCTGTCTATGTTGTATTGAAACACCCATGACTTTCAGGAATGTTCCAGATTACAGATTTTGTCAGCTAGTTTGACTTCAAAATAGTTTGACATTGGCTATTTAAAATATATTCAAAGCAGGTCTCCAAATTTTACATTAAATTCCCAGCTCTTTAATACTTGGCATACCTAGATTTCCCAGAGCCAATTTTTTTTTGTATATTTTTACTTTATTTTCTTACATTGTTGTTATTTTTGTACAGTAATTGATTTCTCCACTCGCATGTAGTCCCCATAAAGCTCCCATCACCACTGCACCTGTGAACCATCACCATAGTCCTTTGTGTCCTTCCCTCCCCTATTTTGACCCCTTCCCACTCCCTCCCTTGCTGTATGTCTCAGATCTATAATTTGCCTGCTAGCTTTGTCTTTTTTTTTCTTCTCTGACCCTTTGTTCAGTTCCCCTATATTCCTTCTATAAGTGAAGCCATCCAATATTTTTCTTTTTCCTTTTGACTTACTTCACTAAGCATTATCCCTTCTAGCTCCATCCATGCTGCTGCAAATGTTTTTGGTCTTTTAGTTTGTTTCCATATCTTAGCTATTGTGAATAGTGCTGCCATAAACATGGGAGTGTAGGTTTCCTTTTGAATTAATGTTTTTGTGGACTTTGTAGATTTCTAGGTGTGGAATAACTGGGTCATGTGGTAGATCCATTTTAATAGTTTGAGGAACCTCCACACAGCTTTCCATATAGGTTGGACCAGTTTGCACTCCGACCAGCAGTATAAGAGGGTTCCTATATTTCTCCACATCTTCACCAGCATTTGTTGTTGTCAGTTCTTTTAATATGGGCCATTCTCACCAGAGTGTGGTGGTATCTCATAGTGGTTTTTGATTTGCATCTCCCTGATTATAAGTTACGTTGAGCATTTTTTCATATACCTGTTGGCCATTTGCATTTCCTCTTTGGAGAAGTGCCTTTTTAGTTCTTCTTCCCATTTTCTGACTGGGTGGTTTGTTCCCAGCCAATTTTTAACACCAGATGATTCCCCCAGAATTGTTTCTTGGCTACCCATACCAATTATTAGGCAGTACGTAATTAAAAATACCAATTCATCTTCTTCTTGGTTAAATCAAATCTACCTCCTCCCCCCAAAAAACCCTCTCTATATTTTAAAGATACAGTGTATACTTTTTGTTATTTCACATTATTCTTCTTAACTACTATTAGGTAGGTATTTTTATGTTTGCCTGTTTATGTGACTATCACTTTGGAAAAATTTAATGTGTTTTTTTTTTTTAATGAGTGCTTGGGGCATCATTTTTATCTCACAGACTATAGAGCTTTTCAAAATGTAATGAGCAAACTTCAGTTTGAGCCCATTAATTTTAATGACTCTTGTGTGAGAACTTGGTATAAATCCACATATAAAACTAAACACACATGTACTTTTAAATCCATGGTATGCTATTATGTGTATGCTATTATCTGTATAGTAAGTTTGTTCTAAGTAGTTCCTTGGCAGCATAGAGACCTCCTTTGGACTTCATCCTTCAGAATTAAGTGTGGGAAATTTTTAGAAGGTTTACAGATAAAATATCTTAGTATAAACTGAGTTTTATGTGATCATTCTAAGCTTTCTCTTACAACAGCTTAGTTGGAGTTTTTCTTCCTCTAAGAATGGCAGTGGTTCCAAAACCCTGGTGACTTCAACACATTGATAAGAAAAACTTAGCTTAAGGCCATCTTTGAAATCTGCAGGGTCCTTCTTGGCCTTTCTTCATTTTGATAAATGCAATTTTATGAAGACCCTGTCTGTAGCAAAAGGTGAAATTTCAAATGACTCATACACTAGGTTGACTCAGAGATATTTATTAAGTCATGACTGGTTAAGTCATGACTTACTGGGTCATGGCTCCAGCTTCCTACAGATAAAGCCTGGGCTCACCAAAACTGAGATTTGATATTCGAGACCTCCCCTCCAGAAATAAGAATTGGAGATAAGTTAGGAAAGCAGAGAAAGTGAACTTTTGTGAAGTATGTATTTCAATTATTGAGAGAAGGAAAATAGAGGAAAACACATGCTTTGGAGACCCAGCCAAAGTCATCTCATGCATGGCTTTTAGCTGGAGAAAGGCTTGAGGCTTGGGGCAAGCGCTCGAGCCTCTACTGTCCCCCAACGTGGGCCACTCTATTTCTGAGTTCTAATTCAGAAGGTTGGGGCAGGAGCACTCATAGATGCAGAGAGGCATGGTATGCATGGGAAAGCTTGTCTGCTGGAAACTGAGAAGACAGCTGGAGCCAGATGGTGTGGGGTTTATATATATACTAGAATATATATATAAACTAGAATCCTAGTTTATATATTGAGCCTCTGAGGTCTTTAAAATAGAGGCCAGTCTGGCAAACATCAGTCACATCTCATCTTTGCATTGTCATTGAACTACTTCCTGATATGTTTTTTCCATTGAAGGCCTACTTAGCAGAAGGCAGTACACATCCTAGAGATTTAGCAGAATAGGGCATTGTGTGTCATAAGAAGTACTGATGGCAGGTCAGGTGTGTAGGGGACAAATGTCCTCAGATCGTGATCTGGGCAAGTGTTCATCTCTGATGCTCAGAGTCTGTCTATGCAAAATGGCAGCCCCCCACCTCTGAGAACTAAGTGAGATGCAGTGTCTGGCACGTAGTGGGCTAGTGGCAAGTATTTGCTTGCTTTCCCTCTCCACAGTCTGTGGAACACACTGTAGGCAGCTCATGATGCCTACTTTCTTCTTTCAGATTGTAAAAGAATTGAACTGTTAGATGTTGTATTTGTGCTGGATCATTCAGGCAGCATACACCCACAACAGCAAGAAAGCATGATTGACCTAGCTGTCCGTTTGGTGAATAAAACGCATGTTGGCAGTGACCAAGTGCAGTTTGGAGCTCTCAGATACTCTGACCACCCTGAGGTTCTTTTCTACCTTAATACATACTCAACCAAGCAAGCAATCCGTGAAAATCTGAGGATGCGCAGGAGCACCGGAGGCAGTACCTACACTGCCCGGGCTCTTGAATTCTCAAACAACCTGTTCACCGAGGAACATGGCAGCCGCATCAAGAAAAATGTGAAACAGATGCTCATTGTCATCACTGATGGGGAGTCACATGACCGAGAGATGCTTAATGAGGCAGCATCGAAATTAAGAGACAAAGGCATCATCATCTATGCAGTGGGTGTCGGAAAGGCCAACCAAAATGAACTTGAGATTATAGCTGGGAATAAAAACAATACCATACATGTAGATGATTTCGACAAGCTGAAGGATGTCTACCACACTCTGCAAGAAAGTATGTGTAACAACTCACAAGAAGGTAAGCTGTGATTTTAAGTTTCTGTGGGGATAGCAGTAAAATTGTTCAAATGAAAAATTAATATGTTTTCACTTCCCATCACTGGTGTCATAAGTGGAACATGGAAATGGCTCAGGTGCCATTTTTTTCCACTTTAAAAGAAATGCGTTGATTGAGTGAGATGTAAAGGTCCCTTCCCACCACGGTGTGTACTGAAGAGATTATATCAGGAGGTTTCAGGGACATTCTTTGTTGTCTCACCAACACGCTGCCTATCTCTTGGCACAGAGGAGCTCTTCTTAAGCTCATATTCTCCTCACCCCATTTAATGGCTGCTGGTGCCACTCTGTTTGCTTCATGGTCTCAGTACAGCCAGCGGGCTTCAGTTTCAGTGCAAATGCAAATGGACGCTTGCGTGGTTTCAAGACCCAGTGTCCTCTAAATGGGGTTTCAGGTGTCCTGTGGAGTCATGGAAGTTCAGGTGGTCCAGTGTGCCTCTCTGGATAAGGATAAGTGCAGAGGGGAGGGTAAAGGAGTTGAAGGCAGGCTGGTAGAGAGTGCCTCCTGGGAACAGGAAGGGCAGGGGCCTGAGGAGACTCCCTGAGATGCTGCCGGGGTAGGTAGGCTGGCTGCGTTCCAGCTGAGCGAGGAAGGTCAGAATCCTTGTCAGGTAATGGCCGAGTCCTCCAAACCTGGAGAATGAATCAGCTGACTTCCTTGCTCCTTTCCTTCTTCACTCCCTTCCTGGTAGCTACCTTCTCTTCTCCCCTTTTGCCTTCCTCTACCACTTTGTTTTTTAAATATCTTTTTAAAATTTAAAATTTATGTATTTATTTTTGTGTAGTAGAACTGGGGTACAGGCCAGAGGTGCAGGGGGTGAGAGGATCCACCAGAGACAGAGAGGGGAACAGAACAGGCAGACTGACTGAAATACACTGCTGAGGGGCGCGGCGGCCAAGTCAGGAGAGGTCTGCCGCACCATGTGGGTAGCTCCCTGGCCAGGGATGGAACGCAGGCTGTCTTGGTGACGGTGCTGAGACTTACCCCTCTACTCCACCAGGGAGGCCCCAGAAACATTTTTAAAATGATAATTTTCAACACAAAGGTAAAGTGGAAGCATTAATAATAACAGGATTTCTAATAGTAGTACCATGATGTGGATGAACAGTCCAGCCTGGTATGTTGAAGGGATTTCTAGCCTTGGTAGTTACCTTTGAATGAATAAATTCAATCAATTCAAATTTCTTACTTTCTTTCCCTGAGTAACTTTCAGTATCTTTTCAAATGTATTGTGTAAATTATTGAATTCTGAAACTGACTACTATTTTTCCATTCCTGCTATTCTTCCTTCTCTTTGTAGGCCAGTGAGTCTCTCCTCTGTTAATATATCTCAATTTGCTACTAATAGAGGGAGTTAATAAAACCACTTATGTATTTGAGCACAGGGAAAATTGAGAATGATTATGAGGAAACTAATTGATTCATTTTTTTTCCCATTGCAGTGTGTAACATCCCAAAGGCAGATGTGATTTTCCTTTGTGACAGCTCCAGCAGGGTATCTGATTCAGAGTTTGTTACCATGACAACTTTCTTGTCAGACTTAAGTGATAATTTTGACATTCAGTCTCAAAAAATAAAACTTGGATTAGCTCAGTTTGGGTCCATCTACAAGGAACTTGTTGGGTTGAGTGACTCTCTGACCAAAAGCCAATGGAAAAATCAAATTCAAACTATTAAGAAGATCAATGGGTCTCCTCAAGTTGACCATGCCCTTAGTAAAGTGAAGTTCATGTTCGATCCTTCGGTTGGTGGGAGAAGAAATGCTGGTGTCCCTCAGACCTTGGTGGTTATCCTGTCTGGGCCCCCTCAAGGTAACGTGTCAGAGGCTGTGAAAGACCTGAGAGACCTTGGAATTTGCGTCCTGGCCTGGGGCGTAGGAGATGTTCAAAAGCAGCAGCTCCTGTCAATAACAGACAATCCTGGAAAAATAGTCACATTTCAAGACTTTACTAAACTAAAAGATATGGATGTGAGAAAAAGAATGGTCCGTGAGATCTGCCAGAGCTGTGGGAAAACGAGTAAGTATTCCCTGGCTCTTTATTTGGCTTTGCTTTAATGACTTCATTTCTCTGTTTCCCACAGACTCTTGCAGGTTAGTTCTAGCAGGACGTATACTTAGAGTAGTGTGTGGTAAGAATAGACCTCTCTGTTTCCAGAAAGACTGGGAGCAGTCATCCTCCCTCAGAGACTGGAAAGGGTGAAGGGTCTGGAGGAGGCCCTGAGTTGTGCCCTCTGCTCAGCCTACTCCCTCGTGCAGTCCAAGTTTACTCTCTTCTTAGCATCTGGAGCCCAGTCTCGTGGCTCTACCTTCTCCACATTCAGAAGTCCAGACAGTGCCTTGCATCCAGTAGAAAGAAAGTAAAGTAAATATTTGCTGGTTGGAAGTTTTACTATTTTAAATTTGTTAAATCATCTTGTATAGGACTGTGTGTGTGTGTGTGTGTGTGAAAATACCTTGCTATCATTATTTTCATTTAGTGCAATACTTGTAGGTGATGAAATGAACGCACTATAGCTGCACATGCGTGCGCGCGCGCTTCTGCATGTGCATGTGTGTGCACACTGTTGGGAGCATATTTGTATCTGTTTTCTTCTTTTAATAATGGGATTCACATAACCACAACATAGTAAGGATTTGAATTATCTTGAGGGAAGTCACGTGCACGAATGGCTGCAAAGGCTGGGGAGGTGATCTGAATGGGCCCACTGGGCAGGGAGCAAGGAAATGAGTCAATAGCAGTGACCATCTGATAGGGATGTTCCCATCTGGCCAAGTGGCCATGTGGAACTCAGGATCTGTCCCGTTGGGCCCAGGTGTTGGGAGGATAGCAGATTCAGAAGCATCAGTGAAGGATGACATTTTGTGGGATTTGCACAACCTACAGAAATTGCTCAGAGAACCTCTGTTTCTAGAGTTGTTAGGATTAAAACCACTTCTTTCACAAAATGCATTATTCTTTTCAAGGTCCCCAGATCTTTTCCCTCCCATTTAGTGTACCTAACAGGAGGCAGATTATAGCGGTAGAAAGAGCGTGGGGCCCAGAATCAGGAAACCAAAGTTCTAAATCTGGTTCAAGGGCAGCAACCCCCACAAATCACTGTCTCCTCATGTGTAAAATGAGCAAGTGGCCGGGGTTGGAGGGGACCCTGTGGCAGCTTGCAAGTGAGTTATGTTTGTCCTGTCTGGTGATGACAACTTGTTAAATTAGTTGACAGGTTGCACAGACTAGAAATTTTTACTTTGAAAATGTAGTTTTCAGGCTTCTTTTTGAAAATCAGATGCTCTGACAATGGTGGGCCCCTTCCCTACATGGCTCCTCTCTGCTAGGGCTGAACAGTGAACAGATGGGCCATCGCTCCCAGCTCACTTTTCTCCCACCCGTGCATTGGACTCATATCACTTTCCTGGCCTCTGCGGCCAGGTGAGCTTGTTACCTTTGCATTAAGTAATCTTAACAACAAATCATGCTTTAATATGTCATTGTTATATTGATCATAATGTGTTGTCATTAAAAGAAGAAAATACATGGAAAGAGAGAGCGTGCACAGGCCCCTGGGAATGAGGCTAAACCATGGTTCGAATTTCAAATAACAGTTGGAACTTGTAGTATTTGAAAGGGGACAGAGGGAACACCTGAATTATATGTTGATCGAGCTCCTTGGACAATTTTTTGGGCATTAAAACCCTCTGTTCCTGGCCAAGAGCACTGTCCATTTTAGTTACTTAGTCTCATTATTAATCTGGCCTCATCTCCCTTGGTCTCCAGATTGCTTCGTGGACATAGTGGTCGGTTTCGACATTTCCACTCACCTGCCAGGGCAGCGGCTGTTCCACGGCCACTCCCCACTGGAATCTTACCTCCCGGGCATCTTAGAAGACATCACCTCCATCAGGGGAGTGAGTTGTGGGGCAGGTGCAGAGACGCAGGTGAGCGTGGCCTTTAAGGTGAACAGTGAAGAGAATTTCCCTGCCAAGTTCCAAATCTACCAGAAAGCGATGTTTGGTAGTCTGCTACAGCCACTCACCGTCAATGGGTCGAGCCAGCTGAATGCACAGTTCTTGCAGTGGCTGTGGGACACGTTCGAGAGTCGAGATACAGCGCAAGTTCAGGTACCCATGTCGCAGTCTAGTTGCTCCCTTTATGTGCTTTCCTGAGTTTTGCTTCCCCAGTGACATATTTTGTCTTCACGTCGTTATCGCAGTCTGCTTTTTTCCCCACTAGGTGCTACTCATCTTTTCAGATGGCATCGGTGGTCAAAGTATCACCCTGCTTGAAGATAAATCTGATCGACTCAGAGAAGCAGGTATTGAGTCAAAAACGTAAAGGAAGAACGAAGGTGCTGAGGGAGTCTGTACTTCTCAGGCACTCTAGATCTGGTGCTCTGTATGCCCACCATAGCAGAGGCTGTCAGTGTCCTGCTCGAACCTCGTTGACCAGGCCATGTGCTCAGCCCTCAGCGCTGCAGATGCTACGGCCAAGTGCTTGTCTTTTTCCTCCTGAGGATGTGTGCCCTTGGCTGACCTCAACCTGGACCTGATACTTGTGTGCAGATGGGGTTATTTCATGACCTTGGAGGGTGGAGGGAGGGCAGTTGTTGATAGAAAAGCACAAAAGCTCACTTCCCTTGCCTCAAGTCCACCGGTATAATTTACCCTCCAGAGCAGCTCATAATTAAGGCCAAGGCTAAAACTGGACTCTGACATATTCTTTTTTTGTTTGTTTGTTTTTTATTTTTATATTCCCCATACAATTGCACCCCCCCTCCTTGTTTGATTTATTTTACTTATACAAGCACTGGGTACAGTCAGAAGCACAGGAGGGTGAGAGAATTCACCAGAGCCAGAGTGGGGAACAGAACAGGCAGATTGACGAAATACACTGTGAGGGGAGCAGCGGGCGTGGCAGGAGAGGTCTGCGCGCCATGTGGGACCCTCACTGGTTGCTGGGGATCGAACCTGCTCTGCAGAGGCTGCAGGCAGCTTTGCAGCCCAGTGCTCAACCGCTGCGCCACCAGGGGAGGCCCCTCTGACATATTCTTGCCAACAACCTCCCCTTCCCTTTCCTACTTCTCTCTCTTCCTCAATGGAAACTCCATTCCTCTCCCCACCACCACCCTCACACACATCCGCTCCTCTTTCTCAGATTCTGCTTCTAGGGAACCTGACCTATGATGTTTCTTTTCTTTTTTTTTTTTTTAAAGATTTATTTATTTATGCATACAAGATCTGGGGTACAGGCCAGAGATGCGGGGGGTGAAATGACTCACCCGAGACAGAGTGGGGAACAGAACAGGCGGATTTGACTGAAGTACACTGCTGAGGGGAGCAGCGGGTGAGTCAGGAGAGGTCTGCTGCGCCATGTGGGTTGCACCTTGGCCAGCCGGGGATCCAACTCTTGCTGCAGAGGCTGCGGATTACTTCATAGTGTGGTACTTAACCCCTTGCGCCACCAGGGAGGCCCCCTATGATGTTTCTTATCATGTCTCATTATCCATGTGAAAGATGGTATCATGGAAATTTCAAAACACTTCTCTCTATATATCCCTTGTCCGTGTCATAGTTGCAGCCTGAGCTGGAAGCTAAATGTATCAATAGAAGTTGACAGTAATACACAGTGACAAGAGGCTCTGCTGATTATCGGCTGAGATGCATCGTTTGAGATGCCATAGGCTTAGGTACGCATTGGCTTCTGGGGTTCAGCTTCTATGGGCTTCCCTCTAGAGGCCACAAAATGCCCTGCTGTTTTGCAGGGTCATGCCCACCTCTGTTCTCAGAGCCCCTCAGCACCTCCTCACTGTTGTTGGGATATCAAATGGCTTAGTATGGCCTATAAGGCTTAGTAAGTCCCATAAGCAGGATCTGGTGCCTGCTGCCCACTTTAGCCCCACACCTCACACTCTGGGTTGCAGGCACACAGAATCTTCTCCCTTCCTCCAGTGCACTTCACAGCCTCATCCCCCCAGGTCTTGCATGGACTCTTCTTTTTCCTATGACACTCACTTCTTCCCCAGATCCTCTCTCTACCTTCCATCGCTGCTGCTTTCCCTCCATCGACTTCCATTCACCCTTTAGAATCACCTTAGATGTCAGTTCTTTGCAGAAACCTTCCAAGCTTCTGAGTCAGGAGCTTCTTTAGACTTTCATATGACCCTGACATTCCCTATCAGAGAACTTACCACTTCTCAGAAAAACGATCTGATTCTTGTCCACCTTGGACTGTATCTTTCTGTGAAGTGGAAGGGGTCTGCAGGTACTATGCATCCCTGGTACGATGATATATCCCTGGTACAATGATTATCATATAGCAGGCTCTTAAATGCAAATACTTGTTTAAAGAAAGAGTAAATGAACTAGGGAATGCAATAGTAAGCAGATGAATGAAGGAACCAGTGGATTAATGAACTCCTGGGATGGCAGGAGTTCATCTGAGACTGGAAGCTCCCTGAGTTTTCCTCCTACTCTCAGGGCCCAGGAGGATTTGGCAGTGGAAGAGACTTGAGAGCTGTCATTTATTTGTATTCAGAAAGACTCTGCAGATGATCAATGCCCATTCTTAAAACCTGCTTTTGAATGACCAAAAATTGCACCTAAGTTGGTAATGAAGTGTTGAACACAGTTTTCTGCTAGTGTTTTTCTGTAAGATTTGTAAATACTTTTTCTTAGGGGATTTCATGCTAACCTGGGCCCTGATGCCTAGCGTGTGTGCTGAGAATGCTCCAGACCCACTCATGGGGCCTTCTTACGTTGAGAGTCTGCTTCTTCTTATGATTCTCTCTGATTCTTTGGATAATGTTCCCTGTGTGGGGTTATGACTGGGTTTTCTTGTCTTTCACCTATATCACCTTTGGTTTTATTTCTGTTATCTTTACTAAATAGGACTTGATGCTCTGCTGGTGGTATCCCTAGATCCAGCTGCTCATGATCAGTTTTCCAGCTTTGAATTTGGAAAGGGATTTGATTACAGAACTCACCTGACAATTGGAATGAGAGAACTGGGTGGCCTGCTCTCACAGTACCTGGTGAGTTGCTGAATAAAAAAAAAAAAATCCAGTGATCTAAATTGCGACAGGCACAAAATTGGAATCTTGAGTATTTCCCAGACCTGCCTGGTTTGCCCCATTAAATTTAGGGCATGGTCTTTAGTATGTGAAAGTTTGAAATACGAGAGCATTGTATTTTATTTTTGCAAGTCCTGACATTTGTTGTCATCTTACCAAAAGAATACACAGGGAACTAAAAACCAACCAGCCCCTCCCTAATAAAATAATTATAATGCGAGAAAAAAAAATCCAAAGTTTACACTGCAGAAATCTCAGAAAATAGGAGACAATCAACTAGAAACCAACCAACATTATGCAGACTTGGCCTGTCCATAAATAGAAGCCATTTCCTTTATGCTTTACTTATTTCTATGTACTTTTTCAAATGGATTTGAGAGATCATTTGTTTGCAGAGGGTATTTTGCCAGGTCAGCTCTTTCTCAGGTGCCTTCTTTTCCTCTGCAGCCCCTCATGCAAAGGGAGCACAAGGGCTTTTAGGTGGCAGACTGATTGCAATTTGTGTGCATATAGTTCTTGTGTTATAAAGTCCTTACAACCATTGCTCACTTGTTTGCTTTTTTCCAGGGAAACATCGCAGAAAGGACTTGCTGCTGCACATTTTGCAAGTGCACAGGGCCTCCAGGGCCTCCTGGGGCTCCAGGCGTGGCAAATGTGAAGGTGCCGTTCAGTCGTGAAACTGCTTTAAGTGGTAGGAGTGGGAGAGGACATGGATTTGCAGCCTACCCTTGAGGCTTTGGGCATTTCATGTGAGCCCTGCGGTGCAGGCGCCAGTTCAGAGGGGCTTTCTTTTGGTCCTGCGGTCAAGACTGCCCTTTCCTTTTGCTGAGCTCTGGTGGTGATGTTGCTTCTTGGTTTTGCAGCTTATCCTTTTGTACCCACTTCAGTTTGAAAGGGGGCAATATTCTTGAAAATAGTGATGAAAGTAATACTGCGTGGCATGGGAACCTGATGGAACTGTGAAAAGGCCACAGAATCACAGATGAATAGACTTTAAAATAAAGATTTCTAAACAATCGACTGCACCACAATAGCATTGATAAATCTATCATGGTATTTTCATTCAGTGCAATACTTGTAGGTGATGAAGTGAACGCACTACAGCTGCACATAACAAGATGAATACATTTTACAAGCACAGTAATGGCCAGTGAGAGGAAAACATAGAAAGTTACTGATGGTATGATTCTGTTTATAAAATATGAAAACAGGCAAAACCTATAGTGTCTTAGGATGAAAAGCTAAGTAGTAAAGTAGGAAAAGTGCAGGAAGTATTATCCTGGCAGTCAGGAGTGTGTTCGGGGCTGGGAGCCGGGCATGGTGTGTGACTGACTGTTTGGAGGCCTGTGTCTGGATCCCAGGTGTGCCTTATTTCTTGGTCTGTGAGGTGGCTGTACACCTGACCATTTTGTCATAGTTCAGTTCAGCAATACTTTCATATTTCATATACTTTCATGCAATTTTAAATGGGTTTCAGATGTCATAATTAAATGAGGCATTTGTTAGGAAGACATCAAATATAATACTCGCTCACGAGCACTGTGGGCTCCATCCTTTGGGAGGATCAGTTATCTTGGACCTTTTACTGAGTTTTAATGTTTTCTTTAGCACAGTTTCCACTCTCATTACTTTCTTCAATTCAGTATTTGAATTATATTCCAAGAATACAGCCCCCTGATCTACTAAGCAGGCAGACTGACCCTGTGTTAGTGGGTGAAGAACACAAGCCTTAAATGTAGTATTTGCCACAAATAAGCACGAGGCAGCTGAGCCACATGTGGCAGAGAGATACTGCAGTTGAGCTATATGTAACCTTGTTGTCGGGACGAATCCTTATTCCTGGAGCTCTCAAAAAAGCAGAGGAAAGTAAAATGATCTCTCTGGAAATGTTTCCAGTTTACCTGCTAAAGAGTTCAGTGACCCCAGCTGTCCTCTGTGGAAATCCCCCAGGCAGGCGCAGGATCGACCCTAGGGCCCTGGACTGTGCTGCCTTGGCTCTCACAGGTCAGCCTCCTGCAGCCTCCTGGAGGCCACCATCTACCTGGGCTCCTGCAAAGAGTCACTCGAGGGGCTGGTAGACTCTTCCCACTCATGGCCACATCTGCAAATGCTCCCACCAAGTTGGAGGGAGGGACTTGCCTCAAATGCCTAGTGATATTGCAAGTTTGAGTTGATGGAAGGTGAGTAAAATGTCTGTTTCTCTCTTTCCCTCAGGGTTCTCCAGGTTTAAAAGGCAGCAGAGGACACCGGGGAGAGGATGGAGACCCTGTAAGCTTTCTGACAGTCCCTCTTTCCACCACCACACACATTGACTGACTTTCTTTTTCTTGGAAAGCTTTATTTTTCCTGAAAACAAAGAAGGGGTTAATGAGAGTCTGCTTCTGTTTATTTTTTTTTGTAATTTTGGGGAGAAATGGGTGCTTTTCTTTTCCTGCACTTGCTGAGCAGAGAGGAAAGGTGGGAGCAGACTCTTTCATGTTGACTGGCACGTTTTCTGTCAGTTCCAGGGAGCTGGATAACCTCTTCTGTATGCCCATGCTGCCTGGCAGGCACCTGTCTTTGACCCAAATCCCAGTGCGTAGTGCATGGCAAGGGGGTTGGGCAAAGCATCTCTGGGCACATCCTCATGGTCTTGTGCTGCACAAAGGTTTTCGAATCTATCTTTGACTCTAACGCCACAACTCCCACTTGGTTCATTAGTCGAATTATGAGACTGGATTTGGGGGGACTGAAACCCTATGGGTGGCTTCATTTGGGTTTGGAAAAGCTTAGGGAACATGCAGCCTGTGTTCATCCCCTTGCACTCATGCCAGCTCCCTGCCCCAGGAGCAATGTGATGGAAAGCCCAGCTCTGCAGTCGGACGGCCAAGAGCTGACCTGGACCTTAACAAGACACCTAGCTTAGTGGCCCTCAGTGTCCTCATCGCAAAAACTTCTAAACTCCTCTAAGACACTAGAGTTGACCTAGTTTACAGAATGACCACTAATGGGGGTGTTCCAGTCACCCACCCTGAACCTGCAGGGCTGTCTTAGAGCCCACTGGGATGGAGGGGAAGGGCGGGCTTTGTAGGTAGGACTGAGCCTCAGAATGAAGAAAGCAAAGCAGAGGGAAGGAAAGTCACTGCCCCCTAACCTACCAGGAGGGAGAGAATCAAGTCATTGCTAAGGTATTTATCCAGGCCATTAGCACCTGCTGCTACCCAGCTCTGAGTCAGGCACAAGGAACACAATGGAAGAGACAGTCCGGGGGTCCCTGCCCAAGGAATGACAGGGTGACGGGGTAACTGTCAGTCATCCTTCTCTTGAGATTCATTTTCCTCTAGCATTTGCCTGTCTTTAAATATTTCCTGGGGGAGAAGAGCTGGGGAAGATGCACACATCATTGACTTCGGCTCCTTCCCCCTAAGCCACCCACGGTCCTCCTTGGGGAGTCTTTACCTGAGTGAGGGCCCTTCCTGTGAGCATGGGTTTGTCTTGGTTTCTGGTCCTTACGAGCAGTGTCTTTTCACATTAGCCGCTCCTACTCGGCTCTGCCCTCCTGCTTCTCTGCAGTCCACCGTGCTGACTTCGCAGGGCAGCGCTGGGGTTGCCGGTCAGGGCTGAGCCTACGTGTCATTTTGGCGTGGTTGGAATATGACAGAAGGTGAGGTGACTTCTGAACCCCTGGCTGTGCTTCCTGGTGAGGACAGTAAAGTGATACAGGATCTGTGAGGAGGCTCTGAAGGTGTTGGCAGGGAAAGTGTTTGATTTGAGGGTAACAGCAGACTAAAATGAACAAATTTGCAGGAGGATTTGCTTTGTCTAAAGCCCATAGTCCCCAGGTGCTTTAGTTTTACTGTGGAATTTGCTGGCAGCTGCTGGCAAAAGTGTCACTTTGAATACCTGTCTGGATACCTTTTCTTAGGGAACAAGAGGAGAAAAGGGACTCCCGGGAGAAAAAGGGACTGCAGGATGTCCAGGGGAACGGGGTCAGAAGGTAAGGCCCTGCGTCATCCCCCCACTTCCTGCTTTGCTTTCCTCCTTTCTCTCCCATTGCCCTGCCCTCTTTCTCCAGTTACCTCTGTTAGTTTCTTTATCTCTGATTAGTTCTACTTTCTAGTAATCTCAGGGAGTTTTGAACATTAATTAAATTCCGACTATAACCTCTTGGTGCTTGTGTAGACAGAAGCAACTGAAGAAATTCACAGCCATTCTCTCTAGGGAGGCTCCCCCTTCCTGCTCCAGTCTGTGACTCCCCTGCTGCCTCTGATATGCTAGTAAGAGACACTTGGTTTTTTACAGGGAGCCCAAGGATTTTGTGGACAAGAGGTACGGCAGTTTCTTCTCAGTCTAATTTGATTTCCTGACGGGGCTAGTTTCCCAGTAAGCATGAGGCAGAGACCTCCTTTCACCCGATTGCTGTCTGTTTTCCCTCAGGGAGAACATGGTGAGGATGGGATTGATGGAGTCAATGGGGAAGAGGTAAGTCACTTTTCTTCAAGTATTGGGCAGTCATCCTGAAACTGATGCATATTTTTAATGGAATTTTTTTTCCATCTCTTCTCTTAGGGCATTCATGGATCTCCTGGAGAAAAGGGAGAAAACGGTGACCCAGGATCTCAGGTAATACTTTTTGCTACATGAAAGAAAGAACTTGGTGATGGAGGCAGTCTGAATGGCTTTGTGTCAGTGGTGATAAGGGATAAAGTTGACAGCTGACTTAAGCACATAATGAGGGCCTCTCACCACTGAATAGTACTGCATTCCTGTTTGGGGCAAATGGGTAACTATAATTTTCAAGAATTTCCAACTAGGCATGCAAGGACCTTCCGTGTGTGTGGTTTTCAGAAATCTGAAAATGAATGCTTTTGTCTCAGCAGCTTCCGTGTTCTCCTTGCATCAGAAAAAAATAAAAGGCAAGAAGAAGAGATGACATTATTTTAGTGGCCTTGGTGCAACAAATCATCACGAAACATTTTTTGTATTTTAAATTAATTTCCTGAATATGTGTCTGTTTGGTTCCAAGCAATTCTCTTTTCAAGTTCTGATCCATTTATTTATCAACTATTTTTAAGGATCTATCATGTGCCAGGCAATGTCATTTGCTAAGGCTTTAGAGATGACCTCACTGCCCTTGTCCTCGGAAGATCCTGCAGTGTAGCTGGGGAGACACATATCAGTAGCCAATGATATTAGCTATCAGTAGCTCTGTGGTAGGGGCTATGTTGTGGCTGTCTAACTCAGGAGGGTGGGGGAAAAGTTCAAGAAGTCTTCCTGGAAGAAGTGATCCATGAACTGAAGAGGAATTGGCAAGACAAAGACGTAGAGAAAGGGTATTCTAGACAGAGGAAACGGCATGAGCAAAGACATGGGGGTTTAGGGGCACTGCAAGTTATTCTGTCTGGGAGGAGCATTAGAGCATTAGAGTACAGGTAGAAAGGGAGGTGAGATTTGATAGGCGGTGGGACGAGGTAAGGAAAGCACTAGTCAGCCAGCAGGAGAATTTGGCTCTTAGCCATTATATCATGCAAAAAGCCTTTGAGATATTTTAAGCAGGGGGATCACAATCAAATTTGCATTTAAAAAATGCTGCTTGGCAGTAGGTGTGGAGGATATGTTGGAGATGATGTAGATGCAAGGCAAAGATGAGAGGCGGGTCTGTCGTCATCAGGGTGAGACGTGATGAAGGTTTCAGCATGAAGTAAAGCAACAGCAGTGAGAATAGACACAAGACCTGCGAAGGCCAGAGCAGAGCCTGCTCTAGAGTGAACCCCTAGAGTGCGGAAGTTAAGGAAGCATGCACTCTTAAAGTTATGCGAAGAGTGAGTGCCTCCCTAAATTTTGCATCCTGGGTGACTTGCTTGTCTCATCCTAGTCCTGGCCCTGGGACATAGGATCTCCAGATCTAGGTGACCAGAGGAGCAGAAAGTGAGTCATTCAAGCTGCTTGCAAGGATCCTGGCTTAACCAAGTGTACCTGGAAGGAATTGAGTTTGAGGTTACCAATGGCATTAATACCCCTCTGGAGGTTTGCACTGGACAATAGAATTATAGGTGTGAGAAGTTTCTCGATTGACTGGGTTTCACAAGAGTCCTCACTAGCAATATGTAACTTTTTAATTCAAACCAAAGTGAAAATTTCTGCTCTCCAATTGTATTAACCATATTTCATGTTCTGCATAGCCACATATGGCCAGTGGCTACCATATTGGATAGCCTGGATATAGAGCATTTCCATCATGGCAGAAAATTCTACTGGACAGCACTATGCTAGACCCTGAGGAAGTTTCCCATTTCTCAGCTTCAGATAACCCTCACCGTAGGCTTAACACTGGACTTAGTACTGTTGAGAAGCCGGAGGAAACTTAGCTGAGAAAGAAGAATGTGGATCATTTTGTCTGCTTGATTTCCTCCTCTCCAAACAGGCACACACCACTTGATAACTTTTTTTTTAAAGATTTTTATTTATTTATTTGTACAAGCACTGGGTACAGTCAGAAGCGCGGGAGGGTGAGAGAATTCACCAGAGCCAGAGCGGGGAGCAGAGCAGGCAGAAGGACCGAAGTACACTGCTGAGGGGAGCAGCGGGTGGCAGGAGAGGTCTGCGCACCTTGTGGGACCCTCCTCCGGTGGCCGGGGAACAGCCGGGGATCGAACCGGCGCTGCAGAGGCTGCGGGCAGCTTCGCAACCCAGCGCTCAACTGCTGCGCCACCAGGGAGGCCCAGCACTTGATATCTTAATACCATTTAAAAACCTTCCTGCAAGCATACTCAGAAGCTCATTTTTTTTTTCCAGGGCAGCCCAGGTATCAGAGGTTCCCCTGGGGAGTATGGAAAGAAGGGCTTCTCTGGGGATCCCGTAAGTTACTAGGGTCCAGCGGGCTCTGACTTATGTAGTTACCACACATCTCCTAACTCCTTTCTCGTTTCTTCTGCTAACCTGGAGGCTAATGCTTATCTTGAGAGTCAGGGTGATAGATATTGACCAAGGCTTATTTATTTGGATAAAAAAACCTACCTCCACCTTATCTGAACTGATAATATTACAAATTCAGAACTGGGAAATGACATTCCATGTTATTCATCCTCATGCTATGTTGAGACGTTCCAGTTCCATTGGGGGAGTGGGAGGGATCTCTTGAGTTTTACTTACTGGGCTTCTAATCTTGGAATTTCCTATTTGCACACACCATTTCAGGGAATCTTATTATATCTTTGAGGGAGTGCATAGCTTGTTTGAACTAGTGCATCAGTGAAGCTGCCATTACAGAGAACAGAGAATTACCAGAGCTTCAGCAAGCACTCTTTTAAAAAAAAAAATATACGTATTTTAAATAAATATATGTAAATATATATGTATTTGTGTAGAAGAACTGGGGTGTAGGCCAGAGTTGCTAAGGGTGAAAGGATTCACCAGAGACAGAGTGGGGAGCAGAACAGGCATATCTACTAAAATACACTGCTTAGGGGAGCAGTCGGTGAGACAGGAAAGGTCTCAGCAAGCACTCTTATAATTCTTCATGTATCACCTAACACCCTTCAAACTTGGAGAAATACTGCTTATATATTTTTTTAAAGATTTATTTATTTTTATGCAAGAACCAGGGTACAGGCTAGATGCGCAGGAGGGTGGGAGGATTCACCAGAGACAGAGCGGGATACAGAACAGGTAGACTGACGAAACACACTGCTGAGGGGAGCAGCAGGAGAGACAGGAGAGGTCTGCTTTGCCATGTGGGATTCTCGCTGGCTGGCCGGGATCGAACCCGCACTGCAGAGGCTGCAGACAGCTTCACAGTGTGGCACTCAACTGCCTGCGCAACCAGGGAGGCCCCAAATACTGCTTATATTTTTTCACAAATGTATTAATTTCAAATAAAGAACTTTCTCACACTCCTTACTACCTAACCCAAATTAGTTTAGTATTTGAACATAGTACCATTTTGCAAAAGAAGAAGAGATAATATTTCTTGATTCTGAAATATTTTTAAATCTCCCTTTAGGGTATTCCAGGAATAAACAGCAACATCAAAGGACAAAAGGGCTTCAAAGGAGGACAAGGAAGACAAGTAATTGGATCTATTTTCCATACATGAGTAGATGAATTCTGTTACTAACCGGAGGCTTTCATAAAGTATAAATTAATTAGTAAAATATGTAATCCCTCTGTGATTGAAAAATATCTGTAAGTTTATATTTAACATAGTCTTTTTCTTTAAAATTAGCCAAGACTCTAGAGATTGCACTTTGCTGGCCAAAATTGTTACGTTCCTGGTGGATGATGTTATATGTGGGAGGACTGGTAGTAGTAACGCATGTTGCTGTATATAATGGACGAATACCCAGTCGTATCAATTTTCAGAAAGATGCTAACATAACACATTGTTCATCTGTGCTAGTAATACTTGGGGTTTTGCTGCTGATGCCGTTGTAGTTTATTTAGAATATTTTCCCTTATGATCTTGTATTTCTAGGGTAGAACCGGACAAAATGGAATGAAAGGCAGTCCTGGTCCCAAAGGAAGCAGAGTGAGTATTTCCATGGACATTTAGCCCTGCCTTACCACCCAAAGATGCCACAGGGATTTCAGAACTTTGGTGACTGTAGAGCGGGTTGTTCCAGTGTCCATTCATTGGTATTGATGTCATTTGGGATCAGGAAATGAAAGGCTCTCCTTTGTAGGCTGATTAGCAGTATCCCTGGTCTCTACCCCCTAATGTCAGTAGTTTCCCCTCCTCCCCGCAGTGACATCCAAAAGTGTCTGCAGCTATTGTCAAAAATCCTAAAGGGGTGGTAGAGTTAGGGGTCAAAATTACCCCTGGTTCAAAACCACTGTGACATAGCCTGCTTCCCTTTCCAGCTTCTAGAAGCCTTTGAGGAGTCAGTGACTTGAACATAAAAGCCCTCCTCCCGTAGCCTGGCACCTTTGAGCTTATGTATTAATATTTTAAACTGGTTAAACATTCTGTCTTTCTCCTCATATGTTGCCAGTGTCAAAGAATCACTGATAAATTCTTCCTGAATGAACCAAAATACTGGTGGTGAGGACCAAGCCAGTGGCAACTTCTAGATCTCATAGTAACTTTATAGCATCCCATGTACTATCAAGTCTAAAACAGGGACATTGGATTTCCTCTTCTTTTTCAGGACCAAGAATCTCTTTTCTCTTCATGGACTACTGAACTAGAGATGGTATTTTTGTGTTAGAAACTCCTTTTTCATACACCCTTTTTTATGGAAATCATTCCATAAATGCACAGCATACTAGATTTGACCTTAATTTTTGTTAAAATACTTGGCTTTCTTTTCAACTATAAACTTGGAATCCTCTCATCACTTTGAAGAGTGACTGATTGCCTTTCTCTCTGGGAAAGATAGTGGAGAAATGTGTCTTAATTCCTGCTGCCTTTGTTTATCTTGAGTCATAGTATTTAGGGGAAAGGCTCTACAGTCAGATGATTTAGGTTTCCTAGTGTTGTTTCTGGTAGAATTCTTTGGGAGTTAACCCTGTTCTGTGCACAAGAGAATTAACATTAATCAGAGGAAGCAGGAGAGTATCAAGATGAGCTAAATGCTATAAATTTTAAATATAATTGGTGTAAGTGAACATACTTTCATTTCAAAATAGCTTTATAGCTGTCACCATTAATCAGGCACTTTTTAAAAAGACGCTAGCGGTGAACCAGCCAATTATTTTGTTACTCCAAGGGCAAGGAGGGTTTCCTTTGCCCTCCCCCATCTTCATCCACTTCCCTGCCCATCTTGTCCTTTATAACCTCTTCTCCTCCTGAATTAAAGTCACCTGGACACAAAACAACATCAAGCTTTCTACCTCTCCCCTACCTTTCAGTAAAGGCCAGAATTCTCATTGAGGGTCAGAGGATGTTAAATGGAAGGCAACTCTAAAAACAAGCAAGCCTAAGTCTTTGCCTCCTGTGTGACTCAGTTTCAACGTATGTAAATGAATTGTTACACCAGCTGTTGCCCAAACAATGGATCAGTGTCCTGGAAATGAGGGCCTTTGTGACATTGTTCTGGGCTTTGCATTAGGTCTGACACACATGAAAATGACTTACAGTAATTGTATTTATGCTTCTTTAGCTTCTTTGTGCCAAATCACTTTCAAATATTAATTGAATCCTCATGACAAACTGTGAGATAGATACTGCCATTATAGCCATTTTACAGATGAGGAAAATCAAGGAACCTGAGTACCTTGCCCAGAATCAGGACAGGTAGTAAGGTGTGGAGCTGGGATTGGTGCCCAGCCTGCCTCCATCCAGAGCCTGGGCTCCTAACCTCTTGGGCTGAGCCTACCATGCAGATGCTTTGTGCCATGCAGGCTCTCCAGGACAGGGCTGGACTCAAGACTACCTGACTTCTAAGGACATGTACTGAGCCATTGTGCTACGCTGTCTGTGCACAGAATAAACATTCTTTATCTTCCCTTTTTTTAAAAAAATAAATGAGGTGTAATTGACCTATAACAATCACTTCAGGTGTACAGCCTACTGATTCCATATTTGTGTTTCCTGAGGAAGGATCACCATAATCAGGATAAACTAACATCCATAATCTCCTTGCTTTTGAATGGAGAGAAAATTATGATATTGTGGTTGAGTGACCTCAACTTTTTTCACTGTTTTGCTTCTGCTTTCTTGTGTTGAGAGCTCTGCATGAAGATACAAAGAGCTGACAAGTCACAATGGATAACTTCTCCTAAGGGGTATGTGCATTTTAAAAGCCAAGCACATCTGAATTAAGGGACAGAAGCTCTGTGGAGAAATTCTAAATTATCAGCCAACCTGGCAGAGGTGATATTTGGTCAGGTGGTGTATTCTAAGAAAATTCAGAAAATGAATAGTTGAAAGAAAGTAGCAGTTCTGAAATAATTTCCATGACTGCCTTTCTGAATGAATGAATAAACGAATGAATAAAATTTTAAGTATTTGTTTTGTACCTAAAGTGATCATAGTTGTTTATCACAACACAAAGTACATTGATGGTTGAGATGTTCTGCATCTATCTCAAGGAGACAGGGTAAGAGGAGCTGGTTTAGGGATGTGTGAGCACAGATTATATCATTACTGTTCAGGAGGAAAGAAGTTAAGATCTGGGGTCTGAATCGTCTTCCTGCTGGAAAGGGGAGGGTATGACAAATATGGCCACTAGGTGGAGAACCTGAGCTGGTAATATGAAATCTGGAGAGCTAGGTACAGACAGATTTTGGCTTCAGCTGCCAGCAGGCTATGCTCAGATGAACCTGATGGTATCATTGGGACCACCACATGGCTAAGCAGGCCCCACTGTCAATTTTCTCCTTGTAGAATTCCATGGAAACCAGCCCCAGTGGGTGGGCCTTTAGGTGGCACCGTACCTAATGATTTTTAGCACCTCCCTAAGAGCTAATTGGGGCCCAGGACAGAGACAGACAGATGTGACACAGCTTGTTCTCATGTAGGAAGCCTCTGATTATCAGACAGTAACTTTGTGGGATTTGCTGGAGAGCACAAGGTAGAAGCCAGGCTCTTCAGGATGATTGGATTCTCCAGACAGCCTCCCAGATAAATGTCAGAGGTTTTCAGACGAGCTGGGTCTGTAATGACTTTTAGAGTGGTTTGCAATCAATCCCCCAAATGTTAGTCCATAATTAAGTGCCCAGTGTGAAAACTTGTCTTTGGAAATTGCCTCAGAGAAGTCATTTCTGTGAGCTGCTCATTACTTATGTCTATCAGGGAATGAGAGGCTGTTTTGCCTCTAAGTATCCTCCACCCAGATACCACCACTAACGCTTTACCTTTTCTGTCCTAGGGAAGAGAAGGTCAAAGGGGAGTCCGGGGTCTTCCAGTAAGTGTCCTTTACTTTCTGTCCTGCCGGGGTGGTGAGGAGATTGCTCCTGGGAAAGCAGCACTGGGAGTGGACGAGCATCTAACAAGGATGCTGTGGGAAGCTCAGGGCTCTGGGAGCGACCTGCACAGCCCCAGACTGTGTTTGATTACTTTACATGTGTGGTGCAAATTGATCACAAGAGAGAAAAAATTTTTTATAATGATTAATGATCATATGTTTGTTTCTTAGACAGTGTAGAACAGTAAAATCCTAGCAAAGTAGGGATTGCACCCAGAGTCAGACAAAATAGTAGCTGTGCACTCTGTTCTAGAGTGCTAGATGCTATCAAAAGAAAATTTGTATGGAGACTGTGGAGAAAAATCTTAACACTGAAAACTTGTTCATCAGGGGGTGCCAGGAATCCCCGGACCCAAAGGTGAACTGGGACCCGAAGGATTACAAGGCCCACAGGTGTGTTGGAATATTTCACAAATACTATAAATAATAATGTGCTATTCTGCTGGGAAGATGGCAAATAATTCTGTGTTAAATAACTGAGAAATGTTTTCTCTGCACCAGCCCTCCTTGCTGGTCTGGCTCTGGAATTCTGCTTTCCCGTACTGGGTGGGCTGTCTGTGTCCACCAGACAGCTCCTGCATTTGCAGGTCACTCATAGAGGAAAGGCTCTGTGCTTACTGAAGCTGTGTGTGCAAATTAGTAATAGGAATTATTAAGACCTTCACTTTGCATCAGTAATCAGTATCAGGAGCAACAAGTTGACATTCCTTAACTGAGGTCCCACACATAGACTCCTGTGAAGGATGCCAGGAATTGGAAGCTGTTATTCAGCTCACCCAAAACTGCTTCCACAGGGATGCGTGTGCTTCTGGGGTAGCACTGATGGGAGCTGTTTGCCTCTTGCCATGGCCATTTCATTAGTGATGTGGGCTGTGGTCAGGACGGCTGTCTGCCTCTTGTCAGGAGGATGCCAGGGCCATCCTGAGAGAATGGCCTTGTAACACGTGGGTATTTAGTCACTTTATGGAACCTGGGTTATTAAGACTAGATTGAATTTGGGATTCCCCTGAAGGTTTGAGGGTCCCTGAGCCCAGCCACCAACTAGCAGATCCCCTCAATTGAATAACCATGGGACCAGCCTCACTCCATTGCCAGGCTTTATGTGGGAGGAGCAGCGTTATCTCAGCAGCTCAGCGCCCTTGAACTTAGGTAGAGAGCCAAGGCTGGGCCAGCGGCTCTGTTTGTACTGGGCAGCCAGGGCCACTTCGCAGTGGGGGCTTTGGAAGTGAGAAGCATCACCAGCACCTCTAACTTTTCCTTATGCTTTAGTTCCTCAGCTCATGTCTGCTGCAAAAATGTCCTTTTATGCTAATGTGAGGCAGTTATTTGTTCTATATTTTATACGATGATAAGCACTTTGACCCAGGTAGCCTGCCTCATCAAAGAATACATCTGACCGTTTGCTTACGTTTTCCTTCCTCCTTCTGTGTTTTGTTTCTCCATTTAGCCTCTTTTTTATTTCTCCCTGTCAGAGAGGCATGACGGTCTCATACCCAAGCAGTGAATTCGTTAGTAAGATCTATATGCTATCCCCTCAATTACTCTTCTAAAATACGCTTAATTTCAGAGTTGAAAAATGCTTGAAGGGTTGGTCCATTGCATTTCCATTGGGATGTTTCCAAAGCATTAATGAAGAGAGTCAGTTTTCATTAACTTCATTGCGTTATATTTCTTTTGTTACCACAAAAGGGGCGAAGGGGTCTCCCTGGCAGGAAAGGGGAAAAAGGAAGTCACGGGCCTGTAGGACCTCAGGTGAGTGACCCAGAAATGTTTGTCAGTTTTGATTTTCCTCTTACTTCAGAACATTTTCATGTTCGTTTTATATCACCTACATATAGTCTTTCATTTTTAGATTAACTGGATACAGATTTTTAGACCAGCTCAGATTCCTTGTACACAGCTTAAACACTCCTCTTTCTCATGCACTGTGTTTTACTGGGAAAGCCCGAAGAAAGCTTTTGGAAGGACATACATGAACACTTCAGAACCTGATAAATTATTCTGATTTTTCTAACTTAAAAATTATCTGTGCCTTACATATCTCCATTGACTATAGATATTTGAAAACAATTCTACCAAGATCCCTCACTAGTCAAATTCGATTCCCAAGTTCAGCTTTGAATTCACACTCTGAATCTCCTTGGTTCCTGAGTTTCTCACAGTGAGCAATGAGAGTTTGGTTGATGAGGATTTGTGTGAAAACTTTTCTGAAACTATTCAGTTTCTTCAGCTCAGATAGGCCAGTGTTACCTGAGCTTGCTCAGCTATCTTCTGGCACATAAAAGATGTTTTGGCCCATTTTCAGATTGGGAAACTGAAATGTATTGTAGCCTGCTGTCTTGTACATGTGCAATGTCCCATCGTGAATGTGTGCATAGCACCATTGTGCTATGTTTGCATGGTGCAGAGCCCAGAAGTCCAAGGCAGCAAAATGTCCTAGTCTCACCAAATGAGTGCACCACAGCACTCATTTCATGCATTAGCCATACTCAGAAGAAACGTCCTTTAGCAAGGGCACCTTTTCTCTTTCTCACTAAGACCCTGTGGGGGCTCAGGATGTCCCTGTGGCCTCTGCTGAGGACTCATCCACTTTCAGCCCAGATGTCTCTCCCTCAGGCAACTGGCTCTTTGCATAGGGCGACATCAAGGAGCAGTTAGAAATGACGTCAAGAAAAGCAAAACTAAGCTAATGGGTTTTGTAAGAATTGCTGCAGAGCCAATATTTGCATCTCTCATCTTTCAGGGTTCTTCTGGGCCAATGGGAGCCAAAGGGAATCATGGAAGACCTGGACCTCTGGGGAGAAAAGTAAGTGTTGTTTCTTACAGATTCCAAATACTAAGACCAAAAGTGCCTCCATTCTTTTCCTGATATTCATGTTAATTAAATCTCACCTGATTAAATCCAGGTACTGTTAACCACCCCACCCAGCCTCCACCTCCAGCTCTCTGGTAACATTCTTGTCCTTCCACTGAGCAAAGATTTTCTGCTTTCCTCTCTATGAAACCGCCCCATTTCACTAGGTGAGACAGAGCAATCTCATCCATTACAAAACAACTCTGAAAAATTTCAGCTCCCTCATTTCTGAATGTAGAAATGCACTTGGTGACAGAGTTGGAAGGAGGGCAGGGGTAGGGCTGGGTGGCGATGTGAACACTCAGATCTGTTGGTGCTTGCAGTTCTCTGTCTAACTCGACCCTCTCTCTTTCTGGGGTGGCACTGCTGGAAATTGCCAGGGAGAAGACTATTGGCCTATTCAGAGCCTCACTCCCCTGCCTAGAGCCTTCAGCGGCTCCCTGCCCCAGGCTGGCTTCACCTGGGACTACGAGGCCACGCAAGATGTCCAGCGTAGAAGCAACATGCCTATTTGAAGGCTCAAGATTGCGCTTCAGAGATTCTGCAGTTTATCTTGACTTCTCTGTGGCCATTACCAAAATCTCCAAACTTTAAAGTAGCTTAGAAGACCCTGTGCTCTTTAATGGAGTATGTTTATCATGATTTGGGTATATGACCTGACCCTGTTTAATTCTGAGCCTTCATTGCCCATATCCTTTCTGCATGCCTGTGCAGGCTTCTCACCAAAACCTTCCCTCTCCTGGACCATTCTCACCACTCCCTTCATCCTTGTTCCAGCTCACACATCTATCCTTTGCACCTCAGCATCTCTGATTTTTTCCTTTAGGCAGCCATCCTCCTCAACCACACCAAATCTAATTTAGAGTCCCCTTCTCTCTGCTCCCATAGTACCCTGAACATTATCACACAAAATTGTCTCCTTGTCTGTCTTTCCAACTGGACTGTGCTTGGGGAAGGCAGGACCACATCCATCAGGCTCAACAGTTTATTCTCCAGGACAATAAATAATAGTTGGATGCCTTGCCTTCTCCTGCAGTCCTTCTGAACCACAGGGAAAGCATGAGTCCAGTCTGGGGCCGCTCATGATTTTTGCTCTTCTTTAAGATCATGAAGTGTTTCCTATACACCATCTCCTTACAGAGTATTAAACCCTTGCTGAGAACTTGAGTCTCCATATCTAGTAGAAAGAGCTCTTTATAGTAGAAACCAGGTTTGATTTTTCTGATCTGAAGCTCTTCCTGTCTCACTCACCAGGGAGAACCTGGATTTTCTGGAGATCGAGGACAAGTGGGACAAGCAGGACAGCGAGGAAAACAGGTATGACTGACCCTTCTCAGCTTCAGGTGAGAAAAAGGGAATTCTGAGAAAATTCAGAGAAAAAGGGAAGGGGACCAACATCAGCCCAAGGACCTGGGGTATTGAAGATACTTTAGCACTTCCTAGGAAGATGTGGGATATTCCTCCGGTCCCCTGCAGGCCTCATTCTACAACTAGTCTGTCTATTAAAGAGAGGATAACAGTGAGGGGGAGGGGGCCTGCAGAGAGGATAAAGGGTAAGTTAGATCATGGCTTTTAATCTTTTAGCATCCAATATGGCCATGTAGGTGCATGTCCACTGAAAATCAGCACCAGCCATTTCTCTCTCTTATTTGCAAAACTCTAGGGTGACAACAAAAAGAGGAGAGGAGGGTCAAGAAATGGCACATCTGTTCTAGTGGCTCTGGCTATACCAGGACCTTGGTCTGTGGAGACAGTCACAAGAATGGTTTTGATTATTTTTTAAAAACATTGTTACAAATGTTATGCATAGATAATGTAGAAAGTTGCTGAGCATGAAATAGCGGAAATGGGGAAAATATTATGCATAATCCTACCATTTTGAGATTTTTATCATTAACCTTTCGAGATACTAAAAAAGGTATTCTACTCTTCCCTCTTATCATGAGCATATTTCCATGTCATTATATTTCTCCCTCATCATTACTCTTCATAGCTTCAAGATATTCTCCTGAATGTATGTACTTTAGTTTATTTGACCAATCCTTTGTTACTGGATTTTTAATTTGTTTTCAGCACTGAAGATTCTTATATCTAACATTTTAGCCAAAATCATAATTAATTTCTACATAGAAATGTCTAGAAGTCACATAGCTGGGTAAAATTATATGTGTATATTTTCCTAAGGGCACTAAAGTGCCCTTAGGAAAAAGTGCCCTTAGGAAAATTCAAACAATAAACACACCCACAGTTATACAGGAGGATGGCTTGCTTCAGAGCATCCACCTCGACAGTGTGTCATGTGTCTCTTGTTCATCTTTATCAGTTACATTGACCTAAAAATGGAAATCTCAGTATTCAAAGTGCACTTCTTTGGTTACTAGTGAAAGTGAACATTTCTCCATGTCTACACCTGTACTTCTTTGGGAAATTCTTAATCCATGTCATTTGGATCTGAATCCATAGGTCCTTGATGACTGTCCCTTTGCCTCATGCAGTGTTTGCAGAACAAAGTTGACCGAAGAAGTATCAGGACACATATAAGCAAATGAGGAAAACCCAGTAACACACATGTTCCAAGAGTTCAAGGTCACAGATTAAATCCTCTCTAGCTGGAAGCCCCCAGTGCTGCTCTCTTGACACCATCATAGATTACAATTAATTTTTTTTTTTTTTGCTGAGCATTTTTTAATTTAAATTTTATTTTTATATTCCCCATACAATTACAACCCCCTTATTTTGACTTCAATCCCTCCTTTCTCCTCCTCCCACCCCCCATAGAGTGTCTCTGGTTCATAGTTGTTTGTTGATTTTGATATTTTCTTTCTTTCTTTTTTTTTAATATTTATTTATTTATTTTAAATAATAAATTTTATTTTTATATTCCCCATACAATTGCAACCCCCCCATTTTGACCCCAATCCCTCCCCTCCCGCCCCCCACCCCCAAAAAAGTGTCTCTGGTTCATAGTTTTTTGTTGATTTTGATTTTCACTTTCTTACAGTTATTCATTTTCCTTGTCCCTTATTTAAGTTTTCTAGATTCCTGCTATGAGTGAGACCATCCGGTATTTTTCTTTTTCTTTCTGGCTTATTTCACTGAGCATGATCCCTTCCAGCTCCATCCATGTTGCTGCAAATTGCATGTGTTTATCTTTTTTGAAGGCTGAGTAATATTCCATGGTGTATATGTACCACATCTTGATCCAGTCATCTATTTTTGGGCATTTGGGTTGTTTCCAAAGCTTAGCTATTGTAAATAGTGCTGTATAAACGTAGGGGTGCAGGTGTTCTTTGGAATTGATGTTTCTGTGTCCTTTGGGTAAATACCTAGGAGTGGAATTGCTGGATCATATGGAAGCTCCATCTTTAGCAGGTTGAGGAATCTCCACACAGCTCTCCATAGTGGTTGGACCGGTTTGCACTCGCACCAACAGTGCAGGAGAGTTCCTTTTTCTCCACATCCTCGCCAACATTTGTTGTTGCTAGTTTTTTTAATATGTGCCATTCTCACTGGTGTAAGATGGTATCTCATGGTAGTTTTGATTTGCATTTCCCTGATTACAAATGATGAACATTTTTTCATATGCCTGTTGGCCATTTGCATTTCCTCTTCAGAGAAGTTTCTTTTTAGCTCTTCTGCCCACTTTTTGACTGGATTATTTTCTTTGTTTTTGTTGAGTCTCATCAGCTCTTTGTAGATTTTGATTACAGTTAATTTTTTGAGAAACTGAAATGAACTGATATGTTCACAGGGAGATAATGGCATCCCAGGCTATGGTCAGATGGGACGAAAAGGAATAAAGGTAAATACGGAAAACAATTATTTCTTTACTTGAGAAATCAAACCTAAAGAATACAAGAAGAGGGCCTTCCCTGGTGGCACACAGCGGTTGAGTGCTGGGCTACGAAGCTGCCCACAGCCTCTGCAGTGCTGGTTCGATCCCCGGCTGCCAGTGAGGGTCCCACATGGCATGCATACCTCTCCTGTCGTGCCCACTGCTCCCCTCAGCAGTGTATTCACCAGTCTGCCTGTTCTGTTCCCTGCTCTGGCTCTGGTGAATTCTCTCACCCTCCTGCGCTTCTGACTGTACCCACTGCTTGTGTAAATAAATTAATTAATTTAAAAAAAAAGAATACAAGAAGAAATGATCATATTGTAGAGTGGTATACTGATTCATTTATTTTTTCTGCTGGAAATTATAGGGCCCAAGAGGATTCCTTGGTGATATGGGACAAAAGGTATTTGCTTATGACCTCCTTTTGAAATTACCACTATCTTAACCTTTACTTTAGGTGTGAATAAAAGGGGGCCCCTTTTCTCCCCCTCAAAAAAAAAAAGCCTGAAGAAAGGACCATAATAATTCCTGTGACTCTTTTGTCCTCTTTTTGATTTCTCTGCCTTCTTGACGTAGTTTAACACTCTTGGCTTCAGCTATTGTTATTAGTACTTAATTATTGAGGCCTCACTTCTCACTGGCCTCATTGGCTTCCTTATTTCTATCTTTTCCCTTCTTTAGTTAATCCCAAGCACAACTTCAGTTAATCGAAAAAAAAGTTGTTTTTTTCCCCAAAGTACAGCCTAATTATGTTACTACCCAGATCGAACATCTGCCAGAATTCCTCATTGCCTACCAAACTGACATCCATCTCCATGCTCCATGACTCTGCCTTCCTTTGCAGCCAGAGTGGCTCATGTTAAATCTGTCTTACATACTGAAATTCTATAATAAGATTTTCATTAAAAAAAAGAGTATTCTGTCCAGAACAGTATCTCCCATAAAGTTTATGCTCAAATTAAAATGCAAAATGGGGGTAAAAACAGTTCTAATTAAGCAAGTCAAATCAATTATAGAAAAACCTCCAGTTTGAATCTTTTTCAAAGTGCTTTAAAGGATGAATTACCAAGAGATTCTTCCTTTGGTAGAGAAGGTTGAAAGAAGGGACCATATAAACAACTGTTAGAACAACAGTACTTATTGTAGAGGAACTAATTTCTAAGTTACTAATAAAGGGAGAAAATGAGCATATTTCAATTTATGAATAGATGTGTAATTAACATATTGATAAATAACTAGCATTTGTTTCTCACTAAAGTCAAAGTAAATTTTTTCTTACCTTAAACTCTTTTAGAGATGATTGATGAGTTTAGAAAGTGAATTATAGTGAGATACCATGTTTTCCCTGCCTTTCAAGCATTTTTCTTTAGATATTTTTAGTAACTGATTGGAAAACCAGTGACTCCATATTTTTTGCATAAATATTTGTATTATTAGAAAATCTAAACTAGCTTGGGTGAATATCTAAGTATATCAATGGTTTAGTTTCAAATGACACTTGATTTTTAATATATGATAGAGTTATAGCAAAATGAGGTTTTAGACTGGAATTATTTTTATTCTTCTGTAGCAAAACCTGTACTACCATAATTGCTTATGTCTAAATCTTCAGGGTAATGTTGGTGATCCTGGAATTCCTGGAAGTCCTGGACCCAAAGGATTTAAGGGACTATCAGTAAGTGACCCATAATTCCAGAAATAATAAATGTTTCTTTGGAATATTGGCTTTTATGTCATTAATTATAAATATGGATTATTATCAGTCTAACCCAGGAGCATCTCAAATGCTACTTCCTAACTGTGTAACCTTTAGCACACCTTTTCAGGATCTCTCTTTCTATAATGTAAAAGTTGAACTTTGATTCCTAAGGTCACTTTAAGCTCTGAATTTAAGTCTGTGATTCCATGAGTTGAACTCTTATAAGGATTTACAAATTGATAACTGTCTGTCCCGAGAAATGTCAGTGTCTTCTAGTCCTTTCTAACATACATGTTAAAGCCCAAAATACTAATTCTGTGAGTGGAAATGAAACTGACATCTTCCCACTGTACCCCTGATTTTCTGACAATTCCACAACCCATAACCAAGGTCATGTAGGATATTCATTTTAAGGAAGGCTGTTGAGATCGTCTCACTAGCTACAATGTTATGCTTATTGAAAAACAGGTATCTGAGGCAAGCATCCCTTCTTATTAAAGTTTGAGTGTGATATTAGTTCATCATTATCAGTGTGAAAACACGGTTCAATAGATACTTCCCATCTGCTGGGAGGTTTCATTAGTATCCTTATCTATCACCTTGAAGAGTATGAATGCCACAGCCTACCCATGTCCTCTGAGGTATGTATGAAGGGAATTATTTTTATTAGGTGAGCCTTTGCAGATGGGAAGGGTGGTTTGTTTGTTTTTTGTTTGATTTGTTGTTGTTATTTGATCTCTGTGTGCTGTGATTTATTTGCTTTTTTTTAAGTACCAATTACAGTCTATGACTAATGTAGATTTAAATGCACAGCCAGTACAAGAGCAAAATATGTCATTAAAAAAGAGGTTAAGAGAAATGGATGTTTACCAGTGATTAAGAATGACTGGTTTATATTATAAGCAAGCAATTTTTACTTGACTTGAATTAGTAGTTGCTTTCTTAAAAAGTTTTAAATTACAAAGTTCCGTAAACTAATGCATAGTCTGGTCTGCAGGCCTTTGAAGGTTTGAAAGGTGAAGCAGGATCTCGCGGACCCCCAGGTCCTCCTGGTCGGAGAGTAAGTATACTCATGAGAATTAAATGGCATATAGAGAATGTTCAATAGAAAGAATACAAATTTTAAAGTCAGAAGCGCTGGATTCAAGTCTAAGTTCTGCTTCTTGCTTGTTGTATGTCCTTGCAACAGTCACTGGCCTTTCAGTTTGCCTCTAAAATGGGGATGACATATCCTGTCCTAACCACCTGCAGAGGCAGCTGTGAGTATCAGATAGTCACTTGTGCACAGTCTTTGTAAACTAAAGTTCAATGCAAAATTAACTGTTATTGCGATTTATTTTTACTGACGTCTTAAAAATAGGGATGTGATCAGATAAGCTTTATCAGGGTGTCCTGGCAAAGTTCCATCATGCCAGACAAGTTTATACAGTTTCCCAAAACCATTATTATTGCCCTCCTGTGCTCAAAATTTAGACTTTTGAGAGATTTGGAAATATTACTACAACTTTCCATTGTAAGAAGATGAAACCTCTGGAAGCAGCCCCAGGCAGAGTCAGGTACATCTCCCACTGATGAAATATTTGTATTCTATTTTAGTGCCTCTCATGTTACTATAACGATTTACTTACACATCTCTCTCCCCTAATAAGCACATCAGGTAAGAGCTAGACATTGCCAGCATCTGTGTTTTATGTAGGAGGCACAGGCAGCATTGTGTAAGGACTGGAGAAACTGCTTATCTTGTTTTGTGTGTTGTGTTTTATGACTGCCTGGAGAGGTTCTTTTATAAAGAAAACTCCCAAAATGAATGTTTTGAGGACAGCGGAATCCATACTAGAATTAGAGTCAGCTAATTGTAAAGCCTTTTCTTTATTTTGCATTTAGGAACTGGTAAATGAATAATCTTAGTCGGGTGGGTGAGAATCTAGTCTCTAGGTCAAGCTGATCTGAATTTATCCCCTTTCCATATTCTGGAGCTCTCGTTTGGGGGTTCCACATGTCTTGTCCTTGACCCTGCTGGTTTAGTAGAATGTGACTTCTTTTCCATGTCCCTGACTCTCAGCCTCTGCTTAAACACTTGCTTAAATTTATTCTTGCTTAAATGTATTATTTGTTTAATTTGTTTTTTATTTATCAAGATAATATTGGCTTATAACATTGTATATGATTTAGAGATAGAGGATCTCCCTCTTCAATTGTTACCAAACCACACCCATGGTCTTCCACCATAGTCCATTGTGCTTTCTCCCCACTTTGTTCTCTCTGGCTCAGGCAGCCTCTGTTCTATAGTCACGCTTCCAGGGTTTGTTATTGGTTTGGCTTTATCCAATCCTTTGATTTGTTTCTCTATATTTTATGTATAAGTGACACCATCTGTTATTTGTCTTTCTCCTTCAGACTTATTTCACTTAGCATAATCCCCTCTAGTTCTATCCATGTTGATTCAAATAGCAAGAGTGTTTTGGTTTTTTTTTTAGATTTATTTGTGTATACATACAAGAACTGGAGTGTAGACCAGAGGTACAGGGGGTGAGAGGATTAACCAGAGCAAGTGGGGAGCAGAACAGGAGGATCCACTGAAGTACACTGCTGAGGGGAGCAGTGGGAGAGGCAGGAGAGGTCTGCTGCACCATGTGGATTGCCCCCTGGCTGGGGATTGAACTTGTGCTGCTGTGGCAGGTGACAGCTTGACAGCACTGTCTTTAACCCCTGGGCCACCAGCGAGGCCCCCTATTTTTTTAAATAGCAGAGTAGCCTCCCATTGTGTATATATATAGTGCTTTTTCCTGACCCACCCCTTGTTTTGGGCACAGAGGCAATTTCCATAGCTTCAATAGTACTGTAGTGAACATAGGCGTGTACATACCCCTCTGAACTAGTGTTTTTGTATTCTTTGGTTAGATACCTCCATTTATGATTAAAACCCTCAAAAAATGGGCATAGATGGAACATACCTCAATATAATAGAGGCCATATATGACAAATCCACATATAACATCATTCTCAATGGTGAAAATTGAAAACTTTCCCACTGAGATCTGGTATAAAACAAGTGTGTTCACTTTCACTACTACTATTCAACATAGTATTGGAAGTCCTAGCTAGAGCAGTTAGGCCAGAAAAGGATATATAAAAGGAATCCAAATTGGGAAGAAGATAAAGCTTTCATTATTTGTAAATGACATGATACTGAAGACAAAAGACATGAAACTAAAGACTCCACTAGAAAGCTAGTTGAAACAATCAGTTTAACCAAGTGGCAGGATGCAAAATCAATATGCAAAAGTCAGTTGCCTCCCTATATGCAATAAGTTAGAAGAGGAAGAAATCAAGAAAACTATCCCATTTATAATTGCATAAAAAGCATTATATACCTAAGAGTAAACTTAACAAAGGAGGTGAAGGAAGGACCTATATGATGAAAAGTACAAGATATTGCTAAAAGAAACGAGACACAAAGAAATGAAAAGCTAGCCCCAGCTCATGGGTTGGAAGAATTAACATTGTAAAATGGCCATACTACCCAAAGCAATATAAGAATTCATTGCAATCCCTATCAAAGTTTCTGTGGCACTCTTCAAAGATACAGAACAAACATTACTGAAATTCAGACGGAACCACAAAATACCCCAAATAGCCAAAGTAGTCCTGACAAAAATGAGGAATAATGGTGGTATTCCACTCCCAGACTTCAAACTATACTACAAAACTCTACTAATTTAACTTATTCTTAAGCCCAGTCTTTTATTTTATTTTATTTTTTATTTTTTTTTTAGAGGCATGTTTTATTTATTTATTTATTTGTTTGTTTGATTGTTTGTTTTGTTTATACATGCACTGGGTACAGTCAGAAGCGCGGGAGGGTGAGAGAATTCACCAGAGCCAGAGCGGGGAGCAGAGCAGGCAGAAGGACCGAAGTACACTGCTGAGGGGAGCAGCGGGCGGCAGGAGAGGTCTGCATGCCATGCGGGACCCTCCACCGGTGGTCAGGGAGCAGCCGGGAATTGAACCGGCGCCACAGAGGCTGCGGGCAGCTTCGCAACCCAGCGCTCAACCGCTGCGCCACCGGGGAGGCCCAAGCCCAGCCTTTTAGAACATACTTTCCGTAGTACTGATCCTCTGTAGACATGACTGTTAATTCCATTACTTAGCCAGAGACTCTTCTTTTCTTTGTCTAAATGGCTATGCATTTTATTTTCCGCCATAATTTGCAAAAGTAAGGGTGAGACTTTGAGTGAAATGCATAATTTCCTGATTTGAATCAGGAAGGAAATATGCTCCTAATGGTAGAATCATGGATGCCACAGCATTTCTGATTAATACCAGCAGCATACATTGGGCCACAGCTTTCAGCAGGTATTTCACTATATTGGTTGGATGGGTGGATGGATGGATGGATGGATGGATGGATGGATGGATGGATGGATGGATGATGGGTAAATGGTCAGATGACCCAGTTGTCTTTTAGAACAGAGATTCACTGGTTGAGGAAATGGTGGTGGGGGGTGTTGAATGTCAGGGAAATTGTGCGTGTGAGAGCATGTAATAGCACTGTATGAGGTCAGCATCCCAGCATTTATCAGTTGCCCAAAGAGGTCTGTCCACATGTGAATGAATCATCTGCCAAGATCCAAGAATCAGAACCAACTGCCAAGAAGAAGCCTGATCATAATTAAAGGAAATAAGAAGGGGAAAGACAGCTCAAGAAGCATTGACTTGTTTCAGGAATCTTCCCTGGTTCATCTCACTCAATTATTTGTAATCTTTTGCTTCATAACCTTTCAGCGCTTACGAGCTTAGTGGGTATGCTTTTCTTTTGTGTGATGTCCATTTGCTAGGTGATTGTCTGGTTCTTGCGCGCAGTACAGGTGGTATGCTACAGTTTGCATACACTTGTACCTCTAAATTCTCAATAAAGTCTCTCTCCTTCATGCTACCTTTTGGGAAATCTACTGTTTACAATTGTTAGATATTCTTGTGAGAAATGTCTTCAGAGTGCTATATCTTTAGTACAAATCCCTTTAAGAAATACTCATGCTTTCCTAACTTCTTTTCACCCTGGGAAAATAATTCAGTTCACTCTGGGCAGATATCAGCTTAATTGATCTGACACTGAAATAATAGAGTTAATGCTCTTGTTTTAAATGGGGAAAGAGCATTGTAATCCCCAGCTCAGGATACTTTGACAGTGGTGCTTTAAAGAATGGAGGTTTTTTCCTTTGCTCTTGTACGTACCGATAACTTGCTCTGCTTTTGTTTTCCTAGGGCGTTAAAGGCATGGCAGGATTGCCCGTATATTCTGTATGTATCTCCTTATTCTTGAATGAAAACCCATTCTGGCCACTAGGCAATAAATACAGCTGCTCAGAGGTTGCTGTGTTCATGTTTCTTTTCTCTCCCTCTTCTTAAATTTGCAGCAGTGTGATCTGATCCAGTTCATGCGGGACCATAGTCGTGAGTATCTGTATCATGGACCAGGGCATCAGTGATTGGTGAGGGCACTTAGGGTGAGCACATTGTGGGTCTTTGGAATCAATAGGCTGAATTCAGTGTTGCGTGTGTCTTCTGTAATAAGCTTTTTGTGAGTGCCTGCTGTAGGAACAGCTCATGCCAGACATGGGGAAAATGGGGCTTAAGCGAAAGACAAGTACCTTAGCTCTTGAGTAGTGATTCATACTGGGTGAGAAAGTGATTCCTATGGGAAATGATTAGAGATTCAAAAGGTGTGTGAATTATCTCACATCAATATAATAATTATATATAAAGGACTGAGAGGGCATAGCAGTCAGGGCCTGATCTCAGGGGCTTTGGGTTAGTTGCTCAGTGAAGGCTCTGGATAGAGGTAATTAACTGATTATGGGTGAATGATGAAGTTCAGCAAGGGAGTAAATGAAGACTCCACAAATAGAGCGGTTGACTTTGGTTGTGAAGAAGGAGAAAATGAGGCAGAAAAGGCCCAGTGATTTAGTATAAGGAAATAAAGCAAAAAAAGAAAACGTTACAAGTAAAAAGGTTGTTGAAATATTCATTAGGGCAAAATGACTGTACATTATATTGTTTAAACTTTAGAATAAGTCAGTTATGGTACTTCATCTGTAAAATATTAAGGAGCTATGATTTTTTTTAAAAGATTTATTTATTTATACAAGAACCGGGATACAGGCCAGATTCGCAGGAGGGTGAGAGGATTCACCAGAAACAGAGTGGGAAACAGAACAGGCAGACTGACAAAATACACTGCTGAGGGGAGCAGTGGGCGTGACAGGAGAGGTCTGCCGTGCCATGTGGGACCCTCGCCGGCTGGCCGGGATTGAACTGGCGCTGCAGAGGCTGTGGACAGCTTCACAGCGCTGCGCTCAACCACCTGTGCCACCAGGGGAGGCCCATGGAGCTATGATTTTTATGAAGAGACAGAATATGAAAGATACTGTCTTTAAAAATCAGAAAATAAAATTGAGGATATATAGGAAAAATAAATAAAAGAGGAAACACTGAAAGATCAGACAGTTTCTCCAAAGTCACCCAGATTTGCCAGACTCAAACTCAGTCAGGTGTGTTGTATTTCCAGAGCCTGTGCTTCTCGCCCCACAGCTGGTTGAAGTTGAACAAATGCACATTCTCAGGAAGAAAATAATCTGATTCAGGCCTTGAGATACAGAGGAGGCTGTGGGTACAGTCTGCTCGCAGTTGGGAGTCAGACCCACAGGCCAAAGGCAAACAAAAGGTGTTTATAGAGTGGATGTGAGGGAAGCCTGTGCTGTGGGACAATTTGTTGCCAGGGGCAATAAAATCTTTTATTATATCTGGTGACTCGTTTGCTTCCTAGGAATTGAGCAAAATGAACATGGAACTTTCAGGCCTGTGGTTTCTTGAAGATTTTACCAGCTGTTCCCTCTGATGCCTTTGAATCACACTTACAGACTAAACTCCTTAGAGAAACCAGATGCTGTTTTGCTCAGGAGGCACCCTGGGGTTTTCCTCCCTCTCTCTAGATAGGGAAGTGCCCCAAATGTAGGAGCTGTATTTAGCAGAGATAAAATTCATTTGGAAATTCCTAGAGTTCCCCGAGGTGTTCATCAGGGAAGAAAACAACACCCCATATTTTCACCATGCCTTGCTGAATGACTCTCAAAAGACACAAAGCAAACTCAATATTAACTGTCTTGCCATTTAGTCAGAGGCTCATCCTGCTTCCAAGACAAGTGATCAGTATTTCAGATTTCAACCAAAGTTCAGCTGAAGTCTGCTGGCCGTGGAGAAAAAGTCAGGACAGTGCAGAAATTAATAAAGCCCTATGTACAGTTTCTTCAATTCATCAAATGTGGCTTCTTGTTACTTAAGAGTTAGCCTTGTCCTCAGTCAAACAAAATACTAAACTTGAATTTCCGTGGGTTGGGTTTTTATTTTTTTGCAGGGGTGGGAGGTGGTGGTGGTGGTATTATTTTGAATCTGTGTGCAAAAATATAACTGACTCTCCTCTCTTTCCTTTTTACAGCTTGTTGGAAAAGTGAGTCTTCTTAACCATACCTGTTTCTTGCTGAAGTAATTACTGCCTTCTGACAAGACTGGTTTGAAAAAAACTCACCTACATGAGGAAAAAGGCTTCCAGCCTTTTGTTAATCACTTTAACTGTCACTGCTACCTTTGGACATAACTGTGAGATGCTCCTGCAGCCCCTGGAACCCTGTCACACTATGGTTCTATGTCCTATCACAGTTTCTATGTCCTACCAGTCCTCATGGACTGGCCTGTGTCACAGGACAAGTAACTCAGGGATAGGATCTCTGCCTGACCACCTTCTGTTGCTCTGTGTGCAGCTGACCCTATGGACTCTGGTTTCTGCCTTGGGCCATGCTTCCTTTCCTCCCTCTGCCCCAGCTCTTGTCAGCCTGACCCTGCCTGGGTGGTCTTCCCAGGCCTGAGACAGTGGAGCCCTGAGATCCCTTGGATGACCGTTGAAGCTGGTTAGGCCAATGTCAAGTGTCCCTGGTCTCCTGGGTGCAGCTGAAGTAGACCTTTGGGGTCTTTGAGCTTATCCCAAAGTTAGGAGCTATTTAATTATACACACACACCTTTCACATATAAGTGTCCCCCAAATTCATGGATTTGGATGAAATGTTTTAATCAACTAGCTGGACCCTAGGAATGGGAAACAAAAAAGAAAGAAAAGAGCCATTAGTTCTGCCTTCCAGGAGAATCTCTGGTGATAGGTCAGGCTTGAGGATGCTTCTCTACTACTTTGCTAACAATTTTTAGAGTCAGGCTAAGAATTAAAGAATACTTTTTAAAAAATTTAAGAATACTCATTATCAGCTTTCACATTAAAATTTTTTCTTCATGGTAAATTTCTCGATTTCACATTTCTAAAACGACACTTCTACTCCTATTTATATTACTGAGAACAGTGCTTGGGATGTGGGATATTTTGAGTTTAATGTACTTTGGGAGTTTGCCAGCATTGGGGATGGTAGAATAATTTTTGTAGATAGGGATGCTTTTTAATTTAAATTTTTAAATTCCTTTTTCTCTTCCTGTGTATAGACTTTAACAAGGACACTGAAAAGTTAGGTTTGATATACAGGGCAGATTCCCTAATGAAATTCCTAAAGTTCAGTCATCCTGAGATTATTAGTATTGAGAATTGCAGACAGTCCCATTTTCATAGCAGCTCCCTGCGTGCCTGCCATGGACCATACTGTCTCTCTGTCCTTGCTGACTTTGGTTCAACAGCTGGCTTTCATGAAGCTCGTAAAATCTTCTATGCTTGCCCTCTGGATCCCCATTGACAATAACAGTTGTTCAGTAGAAGATTCTCCCAGGACTGGTTTCTAGGGGGAAGATCTGCATTTGGCTCCATTTGCGTCTGTCTCACAGTACACGTCACCCCATACTGTACCTGATGGCTACTTAGTAAATATTCCTTGCTTAAGTGGTTAAATATATCCCACCTGACTCTATCATTGTAGCAGATTATTCCTGACAATTCTGGAAGAGTGTATGTTTTCAAAATCCCCAGTAAGTTGTCATCTCTTTTTATTTACTCTTTAAAACATATGGTAAAATTCACTTTATGTGTGAGTTTAGTGTTAGCACGTGCATAGATTCATGCAGCCATCACCCGTCAGGGTACCGAAGCATCCCATTGTGCCTTGTTCTCCCTTCAGCTTCTTTTCAAACAGCAGTCTGTTTGAAAAAAAAAAAGGGCTGTGAATTCTGAGCACTAGAAAGCAAGTGTTAGTGTGCCATGTTGACGTACCATCTTCACACTTGTGAAGCACATTCCTTTCTCTCCTTTGCACATGTATACCTCTGGTTCCAGAGCTGCATGTGACATTGGCACTTACCTAGATGTAAGCCAGCCTCGCTGGAATGAAGGGAATGGGAAAGGCTTTTGAGCCAATAAAATCATACTTGTGCTTTCTGTTTCTGTAGAAAAATGTCCAGTGTACCCAACAGAGCTGGTATTTGCCCTGGACCAGTCATATGATATCACAGAACAAAGATTTAATGCAATGGTTGACATTATGCACTCCATCATCAATAACCTTCACATCATGGAAAATAATTGCCCTGTGGGAGCAAGAGTTGCCGTGACTGCCTATGACTCACATGCCTGGTATCTTATCCGTTGGTTTGACTACCATAATAAGAAGCAACTCCTCCAGCTTCTTTCCCAGATAAATTATCAACCCCCCACAGCACCCCAAGACATTGGTAATGCAATGAGGTTTGTGGCCCGGAACGTCTTCAAGCGGACCTATGCAGGACCCAACGTGAGGAGAGTGGCTGTGTTTTTTAGCAACAGACAAGCAGCCAGTCTGTCATCCATCATCACAGCCACCATGGAGTTTAGTGCCTGGGATATCAGTCCAGCAGTCATTGCTTTTAATGAAAGGGTTTTCCTCGATGAGGCTTTTGAGGTAAGAACTTTCCTTGGCAACTTCTTTATTTTAAGATCATGGTACTAGCAGGGTGGGGGTAGAGGGGCATTCGGGAGATCGGGCTTCCCGAAGCCCTTGTTTTTTCCACAGTTGTATTGCTGCCAGAGTCCATGAAACTCAGTGTCTAGTAATGACAGTAGGCAGTGATGGCAGCACCAGATTTGCTCAGCCCCTGCTATGCACCAGCACTTCCCTAGAGCTTTATATCCATACTTCCTTAAGGTGGGTGCCCAGTGACTTCCTGATAAAGATGAAAGGAAACAAGCAAACTGGCATCTGCTTCTCTCTCAATGCAGTTTGATAACACCGGAACATTTCAGGTGATTCCCATTCCTCCATATGGGCAATCTGAATCTGAACAAATAGAAAGACTTTGGAACTGTACACTTTGCTATGGTAAGACCAATAAGAAGAATTTATTGTGCTGAACTGTTTAAATGGCTTCTGGGTGAGTTATTAAATCTGACTTTATCATATATTTCTGTATTTGATTATGAACTATTTAAAGTTATTCAGTCTTCCAATGTCATATATCAAGATTTCAGTTTCTGTAATGTTTGGAGTTCCCTCAGATTATGGAAACTGGTTTAGCGGAATATTCCAATTGATCGGATTTTCTTCGGGACAATTGGTAGTTTGTCTCAAAAATCTCTAAAATATTGAACATATTTTCGGAATGAGTTCGGACATGATGTGTAGACTTCCAGTGTACATGCTTCCTATGCGTTCAGCAAAGACTTTCCCAAATTGTTAGTGACCACAGAAATGTTGGAACATTGAGAATTCCTCCTTAATTTAAATGAGTGAGGCTAAAGAGGTAATAAGATTATTAATTCTTAGAAATCAGCAACTGAATCAATTGGATAAGATCTCAAGCAACTATGTCTTATGTCTTGTGCTAATATTGAAACAATGATAACTTTCTGTGTGTTTTCAGATAAATGTTTTCCAAATGTTTGCGCCAAAGAGATTATTTTACCTGAAGACTCATACATGGATGTTGCCTTACTCTTAGAAAATTCTCAGTATATAGTAAATGATGAGCTTCAGGCACTGAAAACTTTGGTGAGCTCAATGCTTGACAGCTTCAACATCGCTTCAGCCCCTTTAAGCTCAAACGGTGATAGGATTGCTTTGTTGAGCTATTCTCCTTGGGATAGTTCCATAAGGAGGGGCGCAGTAAAAACAGAGTTTGACTTTACAGCTTATAGCGACAAATTACTAATGAAGAATTACATTCAGACTCACCTGCAACAGCTAAGTGGAGAAGCTACCATTAGTGACTCCCTTAAATGGACCATAGAGAATCTCTTCCCAAGAACACCTAACCTGAGGCGACACAAGGTCATCTTTGTGGTGTCAGCTGGAGAAAATTATGAGAAAAGACATTTCTTAGAGAGGATTGCTTTGAGGGCCAAATGTCAAGGCTTTGTCATAGTTGTGATATCCCTGGGCCCAACACACAAGGATCATCTGGAGGAGTTAGCCAGTGACCCACGTGATCACCATCTGATACGGCTTGGGAGAATTCATAAACCTGATCTGGATTATATTGTGAAGTCTTTAAAGCCAGTTGTATACTCAATCAGACGTAAGTCATTATTTAATTGTTCCCCTATGTTTTAAAAACTAGTGTCTGTTCCTAACTTTGATAATCCAACATATCTTTGTATGTGTCTATAGCTAACCCAGATATATGAATTAGATGGTCAGATGGGTTAGTGATGGGACAAATCCTGGTTATACTCTGCTTATACCGTGGTGTGATGCAGTAAGACTTTTTTTGTGTGGTAGAGTGTCTTTTTGCTAAAATGTCAGCACTACGGAGCACAGAATGACTGGAGGTGCCCTGAGTCAAACTGCCTTCATTCAGCCCGATAGTCTTCAGGATGAGTGAGCATTTAAATAAAAAATTGCCCTGATTTATTTCCAACTTTGGTACACCCTGGAGACCTGTGTGAGGGGGCAGAGATGGTACAGTCCTATGGTGTTCCCAAAAAGACTGAGCATACGCATCCCAGAGGAATTTCATTAAGATTCAGGTTTTAATTCAGTAGGTCTAGGGTGAAGCCTGGAATTCTGCATTTCTAACAGACTTCTGGATAATGTCAGGGTTTCTGGTCCATGAATCGTGCTTTGAGTAGGAAGACTAGAGGTCAGTGCCCTGCAAACTGTCAACCATTGGCTTGCCAGTCAGTCTGATCTGTGAGAAATACAGAAATTGAGAGTAAGGATCTAGCAAACTTTTAAAGCAATTTGACATTGCCCCAGCATGCAAGTGCCCCAACAGTGGACTCTGTCTCATTGAATGAGATATAAGCCAAAAGTGTCTTTCTGCAAAATGTTAGAAACAAAATACCTTGCTCTTCACTACAAGTGATTTCTTCACTAGAGCAGTGAATTTCTTCACTTTTTCACTAGATCAGTGATTCTCAACTGGGGATAATTTTGCTCCCAAGAGGACTTTCGAAAATGTCTGGAGACATCTTGGAATGTGGCAACTGAGAGAGAGGATATCACAGGCATTTAGTGAATAGAGACTATGGATGCTGCTAAACATCCTATAAGCATTGGACACCTTCCACAGCAAAGAATGATCTAGCCCAAAATGTCAGTAGTGCTGGGATGGAGAAACCTTGCTGTAGAGGATTCTGCAGAATTAGAGCTGAAACTTTTTTTTCTAGGAATTTGACAGGTCTAGAGTTCGGCTCTGCTAGAACCAATCCTACCACCCTTGACTCCCAAAGTTGTCTGGTATTCAAGAAGTCTCCAACACTATTACAGTGACAATGGCTTCATTTCAGAGAGAGTACCACTTTTGACTGTGACTCATACTCAGTTGGAGAATGTAAGAATTGCCATCTTGGGACTATTATGTTAATTCTTTAAATCTAAATGCTTTTGATTGTATCGTCATCATATGCATCATCATATCATATAAAAACGAAAAACAGTTTCCAATTAAAGATTGATGCCAACTATTTGATATAAAAATTGAAAGTTCTTTCAGACACCCGTATTTCACTCTGGGGCATGCACTAAAAGGAAATTGTATGTAAGGTAGACTGGTGGAGGCCTCCCTACAACAACTTCTTATTCAAAATTTGACTCTTCTGAGCTACTTCTTAACTCAGTCGCTGGCTGCCATCTTTTCCCTTGCAGTATTGCTCTTTGTGCCATGACGGTTGATGATGATGCAGCTCTTTTAAAAGACTCTACAAATTAACTCAAAGCCAGTCTTTGTTGACTCTTTTAAGTAGCCTTGCAGTTATGTTGAGCTAGCTTACTTTTGACTTCGACTTGAACAGTATCATTGAACACATCCAATTGAATATCTTTCTACTACCCGTTGGTTCCTAGGGGTTAAAGGGCTCTCTACTAACACTTCTGAGATGTTTTCCAAACAACTGACCCCAGATCCACAGGTCTGGCACTGACCCGCACGCACAGGCAGTAGCAGCTGCCTCATACTTTTGCCTGGCTGGCAGAGCTATAAATGCAACTAATTGGATGACAGGGTCTCATTTTAGACAAATAGAAAAAAATGTTCATGTTAGAACCACAGAAATATGATTATTATAAAATCATGAGCATTCTCTGACATACTTTCATGGAGTCTTGGATTGTTCAGCGGTCAAAAACTTCCTTTAACTGAAAAGTATTTTCCTGAATGAAGGCAAAATTATATGTACCTATCAATATTCCACAGCTTTCAGAAGAGCATAGGGGAGAGGGTAAAGAGATTTATCATTTAGGTCAGTAAGCACAAATCTTTTCTGTGATTCTTCCTAGGAAAACGGTGTTAATTGGCATAGAAACATAGGCATAGAATCATGTAATAAAATATTACCTTTTCTATATTTGATCAAAATTGATCTTAGATTTTGTTACCCAGAGAATGGAAATCATGTGTCCCTGTGTCACAATTCACCCTTAAATGAACAATTAGAGGTCTGTTTCCATGACTCTGGTAGTTTGTTGGCTCTAAAACACTTTCAAATCACATTTTGAGTGCTATTTCTAGTTGCATCTATTTTCTGTTATCATCCCAGCCAAATTTGGTTGAAATATTTCAGTGACATTTATTATTTCAAGATTTCTTTTGGGACTTTCTTTATCTAGTAAACACAATTTCTTCTTGTAAAACCTAACCCTAATTCTGCTTTTTCAATAGGAGGACTCAACCAGTACCCATCACAAATGCTCAAGAATATCTGTAGACACATCCATACAGAAGAAGAGGATTATCCTCTGTGAGTTAGAAAGCTCTTACATTTATACGTGGCTATTAATTGCTTGATGAGTCTATAACTGACTGATGGCTGGTTATTAGGTTAGGAAAGCTAATAAGGTCTCTGAAGTAAAGGTGTGTCATTTATTTCATTTCTGAAGTTAAATTATCTGGATTGATATTTTTATAACATCCTTGTGAGCCTTATTATAATTTTGTCTTTAAATTCATGGTTTCCTCAGAAATTCACATATTGAAATTTTCCTCATAAGAGAACCCCCACAATTTAGCCTCAGTCTCACTTTACATCGTTCCTGCCATCAGTGCTGAGGTCTGCCCACCCTGGATTCCCCTCTTCCTTGTGTGAACTTTGTTTTACCCTCCTGGACCTCTGGTCACACTGCCTGGGACCCAGTTCCTGTTCCCGTGAAGCCCTACCCATCTTTCATGGCCCGAATGGAAGCTTCCTCCTTTTGGAAGCCCATCTTTGCTCTCAGTCAAAATCCATAGTTCCTCCACTTTCATACCCTTTTCTACCTCTCCTGAGGCACATACTACAGTTTATTCCAGTGTCTTGTCTCACTGAAGCCTACGACTACATATTCATTCATTGTTTCAAACATAGCATTAAAGACTCTACAACATAATTGCACATATTATAAATTTCCTTAATATTATATCATAAATAAAACATAAATAATTAACTTGAGTGAATTGTTAGCCTCAGACAAAAAGCACAGCTGATTTGGTTGCTCTCTGTTTCTTCAGATACATTCCTGAGCTAAGACACATGACTGGAGCCTATGAGAGCCCAGATTAAGCCCTTAGTGCTCCATCCTCTCAGATCGCAATTAAGAAAACAGCTTCTGGGCCTCCCCTGGTGGCTCAGCGGTTGAGCACTGGGCTGCGAAGCTGCCCGCAGCCTCTGTGGCGCTGGTTCAAGGCGCGCAGACCTCTCCTGTGAGCCCACTGCTCCCCTCAACAGTGTACTTTGTCATTTTGCCTGTTATGCTTTCCGCTCTGGCTCTGGTGAGTTCTCTCACCCTCCCGCGCTTCTGACTGTACCCAGTGCTTGTATAAGTAAATAAATAAATCTTTTTTAAAAAAAAAGATAGAAAAGAGCTTCTCAGAACTGAGGTCTCTGATATAATCCATAAGCGTAATGGTAAGATGAAGCCTTCTCCAGAATCCATGTAAATACACATTCCTCCACTGTCAGCTTTCATTTACTAGGTAGTTTAGCAAGGTAGTGGCGCTCATGAGCTCTGGTGCTCACGAGCATTAAGACATGATGTCACGGGAATCAGTGACTTTTTCTAAAATCGAGTAAGCCAGAAACTTACGAAAATCAAATTTTATAGTACTGCAGACAAAATAATGTTATTTAAACATGTAAAAACATAAAATAATAACAAATGCCACATACTTAGAGTTATTATGTAACTTCCAAATCAAAGCAAACTTGTGCATCAAATTGAAGCGAACTCAGTAAGATTCAGATTTAAGACAACAATTTAATATAACGAATCTGCTTGGCCAAAGTAAAATCCCTGGACACTGATACAACCTGGTGTGTGTGACCAAGTGTGGGGCTTGCTGCTGCTGTGCTTGTGCCCTCTGCTCGCCTGCTCTATGGCGGGACGCCTGGGTTCCTGCACTGCTGCAGGCATATCAGCCACACACCATTTGGCTTTTCCTTGGTGTGATTGTATTATTCCTGTATTATGTCCAATTTTCCCCCCCTTTTTCTCATTAACTCTCAACAGTTAAAGTACTAGTAGTGCCAGAAACGTGGACATTGAAATTGCATAAATTTGCAGGAGTAGAATACATATAAACTTGCATTGAATGTTTTCTATTGTCTAAATAGGGACACCAAATTCTTAAGTTATCATAGACTTTATGAAAATGTCTTTTTCTAAAACTTTAAATGTAGGTAACATTTTAAGAGACGTGATGTTAATGAGTTTTTTTGTTTGTTTTTAATTTTTTTTTAATTAAAAAAAATTTTTTTAAGAACTGGGGTACAGGCCAGAGGCACAGGAGGGTGAGAGAATTCACCAGAGACAGAGCGGGGAGCAGAACAGGCAGACGACCAAAATACACTGCTGAGGGGAGCAGTGGGCGAGACAGGAGAGGTCTGCTGCACCATGTAGGAATCTCCCTGGCCAGCCGTGAATCGAACTGACACTGCAGAGGCTGCAGACAGCTTCACAGTGCTGCGCTCAACCCGCTGTGCGACTGGGGAGGCCCAGAGATATGTTTTATATATTCTTGTTCTCAGAACAGTTTTTGGTATATTTTCAATGGTGATTGATAGAATTTAAGACATGTTATTTGGTTGTTCAAAAAACCTGTGGTTGAGTTTCCTGTTCTTTCTCTAAATCTCTGTGGCAAGTCAGACTTGGTTTATCCCAAAATAATATTTCACTAGTAATAAGTAAATGGGGGAAATGGAAGGACAAGAGGTGTTTTTAAAAATGTAGCAGTTCATAAGGTTTAATGTTAAATATCTATGAGTCTTAATGAAGTGTTTGATTGAAATGAATTTAGTTTTAACTACCAAATTGTTTTTCTTCTAAGAAATAACTAAATTGTTATTAATAATTAAATTAATAACTAAACTGTTCTTAAATTGTTGGGACATTTTATTTGCATTTCCCAAAGTTATCTGGGTTCACTTAAAGCATTCCTTGTTACCTTATAGATTTACTCCTAAGCCTCAAGAGATTGCTTTGGGAGAAAACAGGTTCATTGAGCAGGAATTCAGTGCTAGGAGAGACTCACCTTTGGTGTTGGAGGACAATGGAAGTGACCACTTGGTTTACCTTCCAAACCACATGGTAATGCCCCAAGAATTAATGATCAACTATGAAAAAGTTCAAGATTCTGAAGAAGTTGCAAGTCTCACTTCTGGTAAGAAAATGAAAAGTTATGATGAAAATTTTTAATAACTGGGTTGGCATCTTTTAATACTAATAGAGAATCAAATAAACTAAGGCTGGTATATAAAGCAGCATTTTCCAAGAAACCACAACTACTGTTTTAATTGAAATTGAAAATTTTAATGGTGATAGACACCACAAAGGGACCACTAATAGATTGCACAACTTAGAAGGTTAATGTGATGTAGAAGGAGGCAATACAAAGAACTTCAGAGCAAAGGAAGGATTAAAATGCTTTTAAAAGCTGGCCTGGCCAGCATCCCAGAGTTTGTGATTGCATGAGAGTGTAACTTATTTTTGAAATACCCAGAAATGATAAAGCCTAAACTCCTTCACAACCTCCTCTGTTCATATCAGTGGCAAAGTAGTAGTAACTTTGTCAGGATTTAATAATTTCAAATAAATCAATGAAATATTCTGTCTGTATTTTCAGTAAAAATGCTGACATTCTAAGCAGACTATTTAGCTATTGCCTACTTCAAGAGTCTTCCAGATTTAGCTATTGCCTACTTCAAGAGTCTACTTCAAGAGTCTTCCAGATTCCACATTTGGCCAGCGCGCCAGCATGAAAGCGTCATGCCATAAGTATCATGCGTGTGGTTAAAATACACAAACTGAAAAGAAAAGGGGTCCAATTGCTTGCCAGCGCATAAGAATAAATACTATTCATTCTTGGTAGCTTCCTTGGAAAAATAAATTTTCTTGGCTCAAACACTTGCATCACCATATTATCTCCCTATTTCTAAAATATAAATATTTGCACTTCATCTTTAAAACAGTCAAACTTCCCTGAATGGAAGTTAGAATTAAGAATTTAAGAGTCAATCCATCATTAGTTGATAAATAAGACTAAAAAAAGATAATATGGTAAAACTGGATGTGATACCTAAAGCATTGAGGCATTCAGGTATGTATTTTTTAGTTAAAATAATTTTTTCATTGTCATATAGATGCTGCTTAAAGAAGAATCTAAAGTATTCATCCTTTTTAATGAATGTAGTTAACTTGGGGTATTCATTTTAATGATATGGGAATTAGAACAGCCCTCAAGACACAGAAATTTATTAGGGTTTGGTTTTATTTTATTTTATTTATTATTTTTTTTATTTAAATAATAAATTTTATTTTTATATTCCCCCATACAATTGCAAACCCCCCATTCTGACCCCAATCTCTCCCCTCCCGCCCCCCCCCCCCAAATGTGTCTCTGGTTCATAGTTTTTGTTGATTTTGATTTTCACTTTCTTATATTCATTTTCCTGGTCCCTTATTTAAGTTTTCTAGATTCCTGCTATGAGTGAGACCATCCGGTATTTTTCTTTTTCTTTTTGGCTTATTTCGCTGAGCATGATCCCTTCCAACGCCATCCATGTTGCTGCAAATTGCATGTGCTTATCTTTTTTGAATGCTGAGTAATATTCCATGGTGTATATGGACCACATCTTCTTGATCCAGTCATCTATTTTTGGGCATTTGGGTTGTTTCCAAAGCTTAGCTATTGTAAACAGTGCTGCTATAAACATAGGGGTGCAGGTGCTCTTTGGAATTGATGTTTCTGTGTCCTTTGGGTAAATACCTAGGAGTGGAATTGCTGGATCATATGGAAGCTCTATGTTTAGTAGGTCCAGAAATCTCCACACAGCTCTCCATAGTGGTTGGACCAGTTTGCACTCCCACCAACAGTGCAGAAGAGTTCCTTTTTCTCCACACTATTAGGGTTTGGTTTTAAAAGAAGAAAAAGAAAAAGGTTTTTTGGCAGTGTTAAAATACCAAATTGTTATTTGTGATAGTTTTGTTTGAGGTAAATGTACTGAAATCTAATAATTCATAAGTGTCTACCTCTTTGGGAAAAACAAATTGACTAGATATTTAAGAAAGAGGGACAAAACCCTTATCTTAGCTGTCATCTTTAATGACCATTGTTCAATAATAATAGAAAGACTTTTCATTTGGTTTTTCAGATGTCTGGGAATCAAGATACTCAAAGGCAGTGTAAGGTCCAATTTGGCTGAAGAAATAATTGTGTATGACTATAGTGGGGAAAAAATGTAAATGGTCAGTAACCCCCACCCCACCCAGTTTCTCCTGAAGCCACCTCAAGTGTGCTGTAGGCCTGTGGAGGGTTGCGTCAGGTTTTGATAGCTTGGAAACAGTGATAGTCTCAGACCAAAGGGAAAAATATATATTTTATCTTCTTTAAAATAAATCTCAGTTTTAGATTATAAGTGTTGTCTAGAGACTTCAGGCTAGTCTTTTTGTTGTTTTTAATCATCATTAGCCAGTTGCCAAAACCCGCTGAGAACTTTCTGTATCAATGCTCTGTCCTTATGGAGAGTAAATTGTGGTTTGGATACTTTGTTCAGTCAGTAAGAGATGAGCTTTGATAAGTTCCAGATGTATTGTACATATAAAAGGCTGATAATGTTCATAAGCACCTCCATATGCTGTGCTTATTACTCATTTGTAATGTGTTTCTATGGCCGATGGCTGATCGTTTCTGCCCTTGAACTGAGAGTCTTGTGGGGAGTCAGGAATCTTAACCATTTAAGAAATTTATAGGGTTCCCAGAGCCCTGTGGGTCGGCAGTGAGGCATGTGTCATGCTCTCATACAAGAAACACAAGCACTCTTAACCTACCTATGTGTCTGCCTTAGTCTCTTCCTACCTGCTCTGATTTCCAACTTCATTTTTCCATTACCTTTCCTGGCCCTCTCCACTCCTCACAGCAACTCAAGAACAAGCTGTACCAGAAGCACCTGGAAGTCACTCATCAGCACACATTCCAGTCCCTCCTAAAAACAGTGCTTAATATTTAGGGGTGTGAACATTGAGAAAAAAACTACAAGCTTTAAACCACTCTTGATAATTTTTGCTACATCCTCAAATTTGAGGCCCACTGTCCCAGTGATTCTCAAAATGTGGTGCGTAAATCAGCAGCATCAGCACATGGTGGGAACTCATTAGAAATGCAGAGTCTCAGTCAGCACCAGTCCCAACCTCAGGGACTTTGGGGGGCGGGAGGGAGTGCTTAGGAATTTGAGGGTTAGCAATTAGCACAGGTGATACTGATAAAGACTGAGGTTTAAGGAGCTCTGCATGTTCTACCCCTTGGGTGAGATAGATTCGCTGTGTGTTCTCATTTGACTGAAGGCAGCTGGATGTCCAGTATCATAGAAGAGAAGTGAGAATTCCTGCACTCTTAAGGGTTCCAGATGAACTGATTATCATTTTATTTTACTCATCCAAGATCACTGACTATCCATCTATTCATTCATCAACATTGATCTAGCAAAACACTTTTTAAGATCTAAATATATTTAATTGTCTAGATATGCTAGCATGCATTTTGATCATAAAATCTGCAATATTTAAAATCCCAGAAAATTTAGGCCCTTCTAATTACTTACTCACAAAATGCATGTAGTTCTTTGGATTTCTGTGATTAAAAAAAAAACTGGCAGTTTAATTATTTTTATTTATTTATTTATTTATTTATTTAAAGATTTATTTATTTTAACACAAGAACCAGGGTACAGGCCAGATGCGTGGGAGAGTGAGAAGATTCACCAGAGACAGAGCGGGAAACAAAACAGGCAGATTGACTTAAATACACTGCCGAGAGGAGCAGCGGGCAAGACAGGAGAGGTCTGCTGCCTCATGTGGGATGCTCACCAGCCAGCTGGGATCAAACCAACACTGCCAAGGCTTTGGACAGCTTCACAGCATGAAGCTGTGCCACCGGGAGGCCCTCAAATTCATAATTCTTATGCCCTGTCAATTGTTCTCTTATTATACCCTCAGGATTCTGCTGGTTTTTAAAGTATATATATATATATAATATATATATATATATATATATATAGTTTATGTATATATATATATATCAGTATCAAAAATATATATAAAAATGCTACCATACTATATAATATTTGAATACAAAGAGTCTCAAGTCAAACAGTCTAGCAAGCTGAGCTATTTGTAGTATGAAATATAGTCTTCAATTTTTTTATGGGCATGTAGCATTACATGATTTGTAATTTGCATAGCCTGCTTTTCATGTAATATTATGTCATAACATTTTCTTTTTTTTTTTTAAATAATAAATTTTATTTTTATATTCCCCCATACAATTGCAAACGCCCCATTCTGACCCCAATCCTTCCCCTCCCGCCCCCCACCCCACAAAAAGTGTCTCTGGTTCATAGTTTTTTGTTGATTTTGATTTTCACTTTCTTATATTCATTTTCCTGGTCCCTAATTTAAGTTTTCTAGATTCCTGCTATGAGTGAGACCATCCGGTATTTTTCTTTTTCTTTTGGCTTATTTCGCTGAGCATGATCCTTCCAGCGCCATCCATGTTGCTGCAAATTGCATGTGTTTATCTTTCTTGAATGCTGAGTAATATTCCATGGTATATATGTACCACATCTTCTTGATCCAGTCATCTATTTTTGGGCATTTGGGTTGTTTCCAAAGCTTAGCTATTGTAAACAGTGCTGCTATAAACATAGGGGTGCAGGTGCTCTTTGGAATGGATGTTTCTGTGTCCTTTGGGTAAATACCTAGGAGTGGAATTGCTGGATCATATGGAAGCTCTATGTTTAGTAGGTCCAGAAATCTCCACACAGCTCTCCATAGTGGTTGGACCAGTTTGCACTCCCACCAACAGTGCAGAAGAGTTCCTTTTTCTCCACACCCTCGCCAACATTAGTTGTTGCTAGTTTTTTTAATATGTGCCATTCTCACTGGTGTGAGATGGTATCTCATGGTAGTTTTGATTTGCATTTCCCTGATGACAAGTGATGTTGAACATTTTTTCATATGTCTGTTGGCCATTTGCATTTCCTCTTCAGAGAAGTTTCTTTTTAGCTCTTCTGCCCATTTTTTGACTGGATTATTTTCTTTGTTGTTGCTGAGTCTCATCAGCTCTTTGCACATTTTTGTGACCAGTCCTTTATCATTAGTGTTGGG